GAATTAGTTGAAGTTCTCCGTAGTTAATTTAAAAAACGACTTTTTCTGCAATGATTTGATCAATGGCAATTGAGTTTTTTGTAAGCCGATCAATAGAGGTTTTCACCTTTCAATTGAAAACCTGTCCCTATTTTGTTTTCGCTAAAAATAATCATTTTCTTAAGATTTTAAAGTTTCTTGTATAAATGTTGCTTAGCAATGCAAATTTGAGACCTACAAGAGTTATTGCCTACTTTAATTCTTTTTTATAAAACAGCTCAAGGGATCTGGGATTGGCCTCCTTAGTTTTGGTAGGATGATTCAAAACAACTTGCAATTTCAAACGTGTAAGATATAAACAATGGAATGAGGTAACAATGCAAGATAATTCTATATAATACCATTCAATGTTTGGTGCGCTGAGACAGGGGCAAAAATTGGGGGTGTAAGGGAGTGTCACATCCCCAATTTTTCCAACAAGTTGGTCCAAGCCAGACTAGGCTATAAATGTGAATGGTTTGTCCTTTCTACGGATCTGGGACCGGGTGCGAGAATTAAAAATATGAAAGAATTTCGGCGAGAATTTCATAATAAGCGCGAAGAAAACTACCAAAAAAACTAAGACAAATAACCTAGCGAAAAGACTCACCCGAAAGTTGCTCTTGTCTTAAGAAGACCAAATGTGAATTTGGATGCGCCTCAGACGTTATACTCGAGAGAAGCACGTAGCCAGCCTCTCTTTAGGACAGCAAATTTGATTTTTACCAATCTTTGAATTCAGTATGACATTAATAAAAGGGTATAAGAATGTATTATTTGATACAAAACGAAATAGATATTTTATCAAACTGTGAGGATTTGTTATGAAAAGCCTACCCGAACTTTTTTGTCAAACTCAATATATGCCCCTTAAGGCCGATTTCCATTTGACATTTTTTTGTGCGCGCGAGCGTAGCGCCCAAATCTCAGCATGGAAATGGTAGGTAACCTTTGTTCCCCAAAGGAAAAGAGATGCACTGGTGAAAAGTTGCACTAATAGTTGCACTGGTGAAAAGTGCTCTTAGAGATGGGTACATTCAGGCAGGGCCGCGGAGAAGATTCATGGGCCCCGGGTCAGGACAAAAAATAAATAGTAATACATGCCTAAGGCAGACACTTTTAGGGGGTATGTGGAATGCTCCTCCAGAAATTTTTGATAATGATGGCTGCTTTAATTGCTCTGATGGCTATTTTGGTTTGGCTAATTGCTAATTGCTATGGGGGCTAAACTGTACTGGTGGCAGTAGCGTAGATAGAGGGGGGTCAGAGGGGGAAAACCCCTGCAAAGCTAAACTGCTATTTTGTTGGAAAAGTTCTGGTCTTGTCGGAAATTTAACATTGTTGTCTATGTTTATCTAATTGTTATGTTTTGATAAGAAAGAAATTAAAGCTAAACATAGCTAAATAAGCATAAAAACATCTGAATATAACGAAGGATTTATTTATTCCAGTTCCGATGTCGTTATGTTATGTTAAAATTTATGAAAAAATATAAATGCTTGCCAGGTTTTTGTCAGGAAAATCAAAGTTTCTCACCCTTCCTGTCTACGCCATTGTCTGGTGGCTATATTACTTTTGTTTGCTATTTGATATAATTTTAGCATAACTGATATCTTAGAATAAAGTCTTAGAATATGGAAAATGTTTAATTCGTAACTAAATTCAATCACAACCAACACACTGTTACAAATAGATGCACATGCCAAAAGTGTACACTCTTTTCTTTAAGAACCAGTAAAGTTACGCTCAGGTTGACTGTTCTTAGTTTTTCAAAAATCTGAGGCTAGATTGTTTTTAATTTTGATTTTAAATTAATAGGTTGTATGCAGTGCCATTGCTAGCTTTTTGCTCTAGGGAGGTGGTCAGGCCTCACTTGTAAACAAAGTGCGCGAGACAACCTACATTTGCCGCCATGTTTGAATATTCACCAAAAAAGCACCCACACATTGTGTCTCGTGAATAGCAATGACTTTCTGCCGGCGGCAAGTACCCGCGTATCCATGTATAATTGCAACCGCAGCCATTACCGCTCAATCTTACGCGTTTAATTCCGAACAATTATACCTTCTCGACCAGCCAATTCTTGGCTAAAAAACAAATAAAATTTATCTGTATCAAAGCCCAAAAGCACTGACAGTATATGATAAATATAAGAACACGGTCTAACATTATCTCCAGGGTTCTCAACTCTGGAAAAAATAAGGCCAGAAATTTTCTTTGACTTACAATTTGGCTTGCAATTTTTCATCAAATTTATTTGCTTTGCCTTGAAATGTTGTCAAAATTTCAAATTCAGGTTAACAAAGCTACAGCAGTATTGCAGATCACACTACCAGTAGTTGGTGTAAACAATGATATACAACAACACAAGTTTGGTCTCCAGCCCGCTCAGTGTGGTTGCTCCATAGAGCCAATATACCCTGTGGATACCTCGTTGTTTCCACAGCCGAGGCTTCCTGGACATCGTCATTCACCAAAAATTGAATTGGCATTTGACAAACATGTTTTTTCCAAGGATAGCTTATTTTGGATGATCAGGAAAGGGGTATTCTGGCTGAGATGGAAATTACAATAAGTGAGCAATTAATTATAGATTTATTCAAAAGATATACATTATACAATTATGTAGCCTTTGCATGTTTTAGAGAAAAAAGGGTTCATTTTGGAATCAATTTAATGAAAAACAAAGCTAAAATGTCTTTTACCAAAAGTTATTTGCAAAAAATTCTAGATTTAAAGTTTCTACATGTTTCTGTGTCGCAATTATACAATGGCCACATCTAAACCCAATGTCTAAACCAGTGCCCTTCCACATCCCCCCCCCCACCCCAAGATGCTATTCTGTCCTGTAACTAATGGGAGACCTGTTTGATGTTATTCCTCCCGAACTGCTTTAGCAAGAATTCCGAGCTTTATGAGTTGCTTTGAAAGTCGAATTTTGATACCATAGCTTGGATATTTTGAATCCATAATCCATTTGGATTATTAACGTAGGTGAAAATTATTGTTTACCGGTCTGTCATAAAGTGCTCGATACCGTATAGGCAAAACTGTACTTTTAATGTATATGCAAGTTAAAGTTTAGTAATTGTATTTATAATTATAATATTTCTAATATATTTATAACATTTCTAAGAGAGATTTGTTTGAATTTGCATCTAGATTTTTTACTCAATTATTTCAAATCACTCCAATATACATAAGATGTCTGTGGGAATAATTGTACGCCAGAAAATTTTGGTGAAATTTCCTTTTAAACATGCTGGGGGCTGCGACATGGCCTTAAGGAGGGGGGTGTTTTTTTCATAACTAGGTGACTAAATATATTTTACCTATCTCTCCTTGATAAATAGCATAACCAAACCAAACCAAACTTTCTCTAGCCAATGTCTTGCCATTCTCTAGTAAAAGAGTACCGATCCTTTAGTCTCTGCCCGTGACAATTCTTGTCATACATTCGAGTTTAGATTGAAAACACTATAAAGGACAGGGTTCGCATAATAGAGGGGAGGTTAAAATTATTTTCTGAAGGGGGGCTAAATAACCAAAATCCAAGAGCATGATGTTATTAAGGGGCTTTAGCCTTATCAGTCCCTCCACCTCTGCAGTCCCCTTGACAGAGTTTCGTTGAGCAAGATTTGTTGTATAACGTTCGTAACCAGGAATTCTAAAAAAGTTCGTAGATCGGATATCATGGCAATTATGTTTTCCTTTTGGGTGGTTTTTATTGTTTTCTCAGAATTGCTTAATGGTCCACTTTGATTGGTCAACTATACCGGTCTTGTGCTTGCGTTTTTCTGACTGGACTGTTTCGATCCTTAACTGGGTATATATTTTTCATCGTGTTCTTTCGGACCCTGATTCTGACGTTTTATGCTCTGAGCTGAGGAGTGTCAGATGAAAAGCTTTTAGCCAATATGTTGTAAAATGTTTGCTTTTTTCAAAGCCATATTATTAAAACATATATTACTATCATGCATCACAATATTTTATTTTCAGCATAACCAATTAGCATCTCTAAATATTTATTAGCGTTCACATTCTTTTCTTCTTTTATATCGTTGTTACAGTTTTCTGAACCTTCTTTTCGTTTTCAATCTACGCGAGCAAAAGTATGGAAACGGTAGGTCAAAATGGCGACAAAATTTCAAAATCAGAACTATGTGGCGAAGGGGCTTGGAATGGAAACGATAGGTTATGGCGGTAAAATGCATTCGCCATTCCATCGACTTTTGGTTTACAGAAAATTTAATGATTGGCTTGCTTTTTTGAGGTGATGAATTCAGCAAAACTTTGAAGCACTGCTTCAAAACAATTCTGTAAAAGATTCTCTGAGTATTCATGAAAGATGACTACGAAGTGTCACTTTATTGAAGAAAGGTGAACGAAAAAAGTTCAAATTTGAAGCAAACTGCTTAAAGCTTCTTTCCCATGAAAATTTAGGTATAACTGCAAATATTCTTTGATTCTAGATATTCTTTTTTTATATCGCTGTTACAGTTTTCTAAACCTTATTTTCGTTTACAATAGATGTAGGTATTCTACACGTCAAATCGGGCATTTGACCTAGATAGCTCCTTGTGGGTTATTTTCATATGTCCGACAGCAAACACACTGAACTGTAAACTATCAACTGTACATAGATTCCTTGTTATAAAATATATTGTAAATTGTGGTTCATCTATCAAATATACATGTAAATGTACTAGGTAGTTATTGCCGTGAATGTAAAGTTGGAGTAGTCGAAAAATGTTGGAAATTTGCAAAAGAAAGGGCAAACCACAAAAGGTGAAATGACTGCGTTGCTAGAATGCAGTGCAGCTTTACAAGGAAATCCTACACTTTAGAATTTTAGCAATTTACTTTAAGTTTGATTCATTGTGCTTAACCGATTTTGTTTATGTTTTTGTTTGTTGAGAGAATGGTGCGTTCCTTCCCTGGCAACGCGCTGCGCAGCAGATGCTACGCATTACTTGACCGTGATCGTGTAGCAAGCTATCCCGCCATGCATTGTGCCAAAATGGTGTGCTGTACAGAAGGAGTTACCGGAATGTAGTAGATTAGATGCAAAGGAAGGGGATAGTAATGGTTGCATTTGCGTAATCCACGAGGCGGTAAGTTATTGCTAAACTGGAAAAGTTTCCATTTATATTACCTCTACCAGGAGAATCATTTTCTAAATAAGATTGCTGCAACACATGGTAACCGGTATCGATTACATGTTTTGTGTTTGGAAGCCCCAGATCTATTGATTATTCGACCGTTCCTTGCTTTGGAATCAAGTAATTTTATAATGATATTATTCTATTGATGAAATAGTTTTAGAGGCCATTGAAATTTTGCAGTGGGCAAGCCAGTTTTACGAACAAGGCTTGAAATCCCAAGACATTGTCTGCAGTTAATTGGTATTTATTGTTGTTGTGACTAGGCCTTTTGTTTTGTGTCCAAAAGGACAGTTGCAAAGGAGCTAGCATTGGCATAACTTATCAGTTCTAAAGGTTATTCATGTAATTTAACTTGTTGGCAATTCTCGTGTTGTATTTGCTACCAGAAACAGTTGTTTTTGAATGTTTTTTTATTTGACTTGACAGGCATGTCTGAGCCTGAAGATTGTCACAGCTCATTTACAGAGGGTTCAAACCTCTTTGATTACCTTAAAGAAGAGCAAACTGGCTCAAGCAGGGCACAGATAGGCTCAAGTAATGGTGGACCAGAACAGAATGCAGTTGAAAACAAAGTTGCAGATGCCAACAAGAACACTAATGTGGTGCAATGCACACATTCAGAGCCCGGTAAAGAGGAAGTCATGGATGCTGAAGTTAGCTCTATTACATGTAAGAGTAATTCACCATCGTTAGAAGAATGCATTATCACCCCCTTTGATCAAGCCAAAGAAAAGGAATCGGACACAACACATAGTAGTGATAGAACTTCTAATGATATTGATGTTGCTGCATTATCACCTTGTTTTCCACTGATAAGAGACAAAGATGACATTTCAGACACCGATAATGAAAAAGAAACCCATCTTACTGACATTTGTAAACATAAAAATGAAAATATTGAATTAGACGCTGAGACAAGCACTGATGCTAAAGACAAATATTCAAATAAACCAAGTGTACAAAATGAATTTAAGGACATAGAGGCTAAAGTTGAGACTAATAATACTGCCAAATTAAAAGAAAATATTGAATTAGAAGACATTGAAAGTAGAGGAATCAATATTGTCTCTTCATCCTTGGATAAGAAGAATTTTGTATCTGAGGGTGCCAGTGGTGAAGAGAAAGTCCCCTGGAATCCAGCAGCATATATATGGTAAGAGGATAATTTTAACTTCTGTTATCTAATAAAGCTCAAAGATTATTTAGTTACGCATATTTTTTTATAAGAAACCACGGTCTCATGCTGGTAGGCGATTTCCAAAATTTTCTGGTCATTTTACTATCAAAAGTTTCTTACATGTACGTGTCTTAGATTTCTTAGATAATGAGTTTTTTACACATGCTTTCAAGTTAAACTGAATAGTTCACTCTCACATTCAGAGATAAACTAACAAAGTGATCAAGGAATTTTGTTTTCCTAGAATGACTGAACTTCATCAATGTCAAGTTGAAGTCAAAACAAATTTTGAAATGGAAACTTCTTGAGTGTGCAATTTACTGAGAATGAATGCAAACTGCATTTCAATTTTTTTTTTCTTTTTTTTATATTCCACTAAAAATTTACAAGACAAGTAACCTATTACGCTACCTACTAATTACTTGACAAACACTACAGGGACGTTGATACCACGGGGAGCAATAGACCATGACAACTTCATGGCAAATAAACATAAAAAGAGTAAAAACTACCAGGTGAATCAGGAACAGGCACCACCCGCCCGCAAAGCCGCACCTGAGAGTCACCAACCGACACACATAATTGGATGCGAATTTAAACAATGCTATAAAAATTGTATCCCAGGCCTCACTTGAGGGATTATTATCAAGTGTGTGGCCCCACCACCACTTCCCAAGCCTGCAGCACCTCTCCTCTGACCCACCCAATTACATAAAAATACACAGAAGAATATAAGAATACTACAAAAGAATTAAATTTACATCTACTAGACGGAACTTTACAAACAAGATGCTTTACGATGTCGTACATGGTGGTTATGTGAGGTATAACAAACTATGATGCGGTCCTAATGAAGTCGACCAGTTTCATGGATGAATCTTAGAGTCAATTCAAGAATATTTTTGTTAAGATCATTTTGGAAGTCTTTGTCACCATATAATAAAAGATGTGTTAAGAGCTCGTTTGGAATATTAACATATCCAAGTGGTTGCAGTAATGCAAAAAACTCGTGCGAGAAGATTTCAGCGTTGAATAGTGATATTCAATGTCAAGACTGTTTCCAGTGTCAACTTGGAAAATTAAAATTGCAAATTATAAAAGTTGCTTAGCTTTTTTCAATTTGGGTAGGGTTGTTTCTTAACTTTCAAAATATTGAGCCTACCATTTATTTTAACCTGTTTCTTATGAAATTAAAGCATCTACCCTTTCAAGTCTTGTGCATCATCAGCTTAAAGCCTCTATTTTTTACTTTCAATACAGTAGTGGCTTGGACTTGTACTAAAATCTTCAGTCTTATACATAAATAGATAAAGGTCTGATAAAAATTGAGGCAATTTATATATTTTGTGCACTAAATTTTGTATGGAAATATTTGTTTATCCCATGCATTTGGCTTCACTACTTTTGCCTTTTTATAAAAACAGGGAATAATTGTTTATAACCGTTGAAGATTTCTATCCTGTACAAGTTTGATCTTATCCTGATAATTCCAAGTTTTTGCCTAGTCATGGAGAGTAAGACCTCAACATCAGATTTCTGGTAAGATTTCTGGAAAACTTTGATTTGCATCCTTTTATAGCAATAAGATTGAAACTAAAAGTGGAAAGAACTTCAAGCTGTGTGGATGCCTGGTAGAAGGATTTTTTACGGACTTTGCTGTTCAGTCAAAAAATTCTTCTTCATAAAAACTGGGCTGAAAACAGCTCAGCCCATGTCATATAAAGCTTAATCTACAATGTGATATTCATGTTTTTAAAAAGTTGATAGAATCAAGTCAAAATCATGGTATATTGATGAAAAGGGTAAGAATAGGAGGGTGAAGGGGAAGGAAAAATTTATAAAAATGAAAACATTCCAGATAGAATGAAGAACATAAGATTAGTATAGAAGGATACTATCTGAGGTGCCTTTCTTTTTTTACCTTAAAAGAAAAGCAGAGAGTTTGTCCTGTATAACACTTTTCTCCAAACCAATAGTGTCATAAATTGAATGGCTGAGATGTTTCTTCAAGTCAAAATAACAGAGATACTATCTGTTTGTTCTTTAATTTCCATATCACTTATTCAAGTTTATGTGAGTTTCTAGCTAAATACTAAAACCCATTATATTGCCATAACCTAAAAATCCACCAGGTAAATTTATTGGGTAAGTTTCCTTGTCCTGAATCTTGTTATGCTCTTCTTGTTGATAGGCAACATTAAACATTTTTAAAAGAGTGCTTGAAAATAGTTCCTTAGGACACAGGGGCTCAACAACTGATTTCCATTTTATAGCTGTTTATACTTGACCATTTACTAAGCTGTCATATTAAATTCTGCTGGTAGTCACATTTATTTTAACTATATAAATGTCAATGTCATTTAATTATTAGCTTAACTATAACTGGAGTTTTTTTTCCATTATCATTTACCATTTTCAATTGTATAGTTTACAGTAATATTACAAACTCAGATAAGCTTCAAAGCTTCTCCTTTGCCAAATTTTTTCAACTGTTGCCTCGGGTTTCTTTAACTTTTCATGACTGGAAACCATAGAAACAGTCTCCTGCCAAGAAATAAGCTTTTGTAGTCCCCTGTTAAACCCCTATGACAGGTGTTTGGTTTTCTACTAAAACTGCTGTACTTATTTATTATGCATGTGCAAACATTTATAGAATAATTCTTTTTAATTCTTTTTTTAAGTAAGGCGTCTTTTAACTAAAATTTTGAATATGTTACAAGAAAATTTTTAGAAATTTCTTCTATGCTGTCAGTGCAAGAACCCTAGCACCACACCAGGTAGAAACAGCCAAAAGCCCACATCTTTGGAGGCAAATGTAATGTTATCACAACAACAGTTTTGGGTGTGCAATTATGAAATGATTGAAACAGCTTTTATGATAAAAAAGCCATTGTTTGCATCTAGCCTATTACACACCTAGGGAAAAATACTGATGAATTTCATACTCTTTACCTAGACAAATCTAGGCTTAATACTGAGATTCTTTGTCATGCCTTTTTGCCACTGAGACCCAGCCCTTGTAAGGAGCAAAAAGCAGGCACTTGACATCATGATTCCATTGGGAACTGAGCACCTTGGTTTTTTGGTTTTAAGACAGCATAAACAGACTAGGTGCTAATCAATCAAGCTTCTAGAACTTTCTAGGCCCGTGTGGAGGTGCTTGATCAAGCTCAAGTGCCTTTCCTTGCAAGGCCTGGTGAGGTCATATGTCAAATAAGAGGAAGAGCAACTTAGGGCTGTTGTCAAAGGGCAGGTAGTAAGCATTAATTTTTTCATGGAAGGTTGGTGGTTGGTTACCAGATTGAAAGTTGAGACAAGGCAACTGTGTTTTAGGAGGCTGGGGGTGTGATTTCATTGAATACACACGGAAAGCAAAATAATCTGTTATCAGTATTATTAAACTAAGTATTAGTCAACGTAATTACATTTAAATAGGAACTTGTTAATAAGAACTACACTTCTGTGGCATATTAGTTAACACTATTGCCTAATGCTACCAAGAACATTTGGTTCTAGACTCTGAGCTTTAAAGCATACAGACATTAATAAGAATTAAGGTCAGGGGCCAACAAGGCATAGGTAACTTCAAAAATAAGTTAATAGAAACTTGTTAATGTTAATTAATATCAGTTTATTTATGCATGCTAATGTAAGCTATTTATTTTAAGTTTTGTATTTAAGTAGTCTATTTGATGTTATGGTTCTAAGTAGTGTATTTAATGTTGTGGTTTTAAGTACTGCATTTGAAGTTGTGTTTTAAGTAGTGTATTTGGTGTTATTAAGTGACATTGTTATTAGAAGATTTCCATTTGTTCAACAATTTATTTCAATCATGTTCAAACTTTCCACAAGTTTAAACTATTTTGATTTTTTTTCAAAATTTTATCTATGTGCCTGAAAGTGGTCACCTCAATCAGAATGCAAGGTCATAAAAATAGTTCAAGTTATTTAGATCGAATTTATTTTCATAAAAAGTGCACCAAGAATGTGATTATTAGCATGTGCTACATAAACCTTCTAATGCCTATTTGAACTTTGTAGTATTTTTAGAAGTTTAACCAAACAGCCCCTTTAGATGTTAAAGGTACTTATTGTTGAATAGTTTTGGACAGAAAGTTTGATCAATGTCATTTTTTTCTTTGACAGCGATTCCTCTAGAGAACCTCAAAAAGAAAACTCAGATACTCCTCAAAGCGCTGACGAAGGAGATGTTAACAAGCTGAAAACTGATCATTGTAGCGATGAAGATGCTGATAACAGTGGAGAGGTTTGTCCTTACCCTGTCAATTTATAAGTTGTTGTTTGTGTCATCTTGGTGCAGCATATACTTGAATCATTGAAGCATTTTATATCAAGGTCTTGCAAAGCAATAGAATGATATGTTTTTTAATTATTTGAAAGAGGAATGGCAGAGAAAAACAAAAGTATGTTTCATTGAGTAGTTTGTTTTGCTGATTGTTCTACAGGCATACATTTTTTTAGTTGTGAAAGTGAGAAAACAATTAATTGTTTGAGCATTTTTTCTATGCTGAAATAGAATAATGAATGGCATGAAAATAGTTCAACAAATTTTAAAATGTATATTTGCAGTTTAGATTCTTTTGGATTAGATATTTTCCTTATCTGGTAAGATTGGTAAGTCAATAATTTCAATAAAATAGCAAACAAAATATCCTTTGTATTGCTTTCAATCATTAAGTGCCCAATCTCTATCTATTTTTTTAGTATTTGATTCTTGCTTTTGTTTGAACTATCTTTGATTGGATCCCAGTGATATCTTTGTAATAGCACTTAATTCAGTGATTATGGGTCCTGATTTAATTTTTTAAGGGTGTTGATAATAAGGCACTTAATATAAAACCTCATCACGTGATTAAGTGAATTGATGGTTTGGAATTGTTAAAGAAAGCATGTTTTGGAACATGTGAACATTTTGCTTACCAAGCAGACTGAAAAGATGGACAGACCATTCTTAGACTAGACTGATAAGATAGATTTGTTGCAAAAATTCAATATCTTGAATTTAATGAAAGTGTTTTTCAGATTAATTCTTACCCTAGTTGTTTCTTTTTTCAAATATTGCTTGTCAAGCACTTTTATTTGGTAATGTTGCAAGCAGTTTTGTATCTTTTTCAATGACTACTGATATCTTTTATTCCTCTCATTAAGATTATTTTGCTTTAAATGGTTTAGTAAAAAGATAGACTTTTTATTGTTTGATAAAAGATAACTCTTCCTTTGCACACCCTGCATTTTATCAAAGGTTATTGTTTTCTTCAGTTTTTATTCCCTCTTATATATATTTAATACCAGATACCTGGCAATAATCAACTGTTTAAATTCTTACCAACTGATCAATTTTCATCTGGAGGAATATTCATTTAAAGCCGGCTTACCTTATCGAGAAGAAAGTTGGTCATAGATTTCAAGGGGTCTGAAGTAAAGGAAAGTTTTTATGAGCTCGACCCTTCCTAATGGCCATTATAGCCCAAAATGGCACACCAGCTAAAAGAAAAAAGTATATGTGAGCGTGAATTCCAAAAGTTAACGTCATTATTTTACACATAAGTACGCGTTCCAAAACATACAATTAAACGATGCTGTTTTCTACGAAAATCAAGGAAAAGTAACTCTCTTAGTGCCTGGCTCTAGTCTAGGAAAATAACTTTAATTCGAAACCCAGCATTGGAAACCATACATTCTGGAACATCTCCGGATGTACATGAACTCAAAAATGAACACTTCTGACGTGGATTCCCTGAAGACCGTAGATATGCACAAGACAAAGCAAGCCTTCGACATTGATTGAATCGCATTGATATAAATGTGGTTGCCATCAATAAGATCAGTCAGCCATCACAGAAGATAGCCAAGCAACGGCGTTCTGATCTTCTAGGCAACCCCCTGGAAAGGCAATCCATGTATTGGAAAGTAATGTGGTTTAGGGGGGTTGACAGAAACAAAGTAGCCTAGCAAATGAATTTGCATATAGAAAAGGATGGTAAGTAAACAATTAACAAGCCAAGTGTACCAACAACAAAAAAGTCTCTCGTAATATTAAATGTGATGAAATTCGTAAAATCGTTAATAAATCGATTTATCTAGGCATCTGGTGACATATCATTTGTATCATCTTTGGAAGACGACGATGATCAGGAGCCAGCACAATACAACCAAGTAACCGAGAATGTCTATTTAGTTGATAAGTGAGTAATTTATTTCTTATTAATTTAATATGTTTGAGTCAACATCTAATTACGAAGATTTCTAGTAAAAGTAATCACTCACTAATCAGTTTTCGTTTCACTTCTCTGTTGTCAGTACTGTGAATTTACGTCGCTATTTATGAATTTTAGTGTTGTTTCTTGTTCTAGAAAAAAGACGAGACTCAACAAAGAGATTCGTAGAATTAGATGTGACTGTGTTTATGAGCCAGGTATGTTGAAAACCAACCATTATTATTGGACGACTAAATTCTTACTTTACTAGCTTTAAATATTTATTAACAAAATTTGAACCAGCTTGCCCATTTTTACATTCTATGTATACGATAAAAAATTATCTAACTATAGTTTGCTTTTCTTTCGAAAGGCACTTTTGATACCTAAGTGGTTTCGCATCTATAGGATAAGGGCAATGAGGAAATAAAGACACCACAGTTTAACTATCTAATCGTCTTGATTTTGTGTTTATATACAATTATCGTGATTTTGTGTTTCAGATGAACCGGGTTTTGTCGGATGTGGATCCAGCTGCCTAAACCGATTGCTCATGATAGAATGGTATGTTCCTAAATTCTGTCCTAAATTCTAAATCCATCACAAATTACAAATTTCAAATTTATATATCACAAATTTAGATGATTATCATCGCCTTTCAATTAGTTTTTGGACTTCTGTTTATGCTTATGGTACTTTGAAGGTTGTATCTGATGATGTTTACATGGAATCAAAATATATATAAACTTTCCTGTAAAGTATTCAATCAAAAAGAAGAAGTGAGGTTTTGATGTCGTATTGGCCCAATGTCCTTACTGGCTCACATACCTGGAAAGAATAGGAAAATTTGTTGAAACTTTGCAAGAGCAGAAATGCCTACCTCGCTAATATGTTGCATGCCTTTTCTTATTCGTCTTTTGTTTGAACTGCGTGCATAAAGCTGCTCATGTTAAGACCTAAATTTTCGATTTGTTTATTTTTGTTTCTGTATGCTTTATTTCATAGACAGTGATTACGTCTCGACTTTTTTTAGTTTTATTTATAAAGTATTTTTCTAATTTTTATCATTGATTTGTTACAGTGGCAATAAGTGTGGTTGCGGGGAATTTTGCACAAACAAGAATTTTCAGCGTGTAAGCATATTAACCAAATTGATAAATTCCAAACTTACCGATCATATATTATCAAATTACGAAGATTGAATTACTTTATTGCCTTTTTTAAAGATGTATTCTTGAATCATCAACGTATTTTTTTACTTTGTTCAACGCAGCTTTAAAAATGTTTGTTATCTGGTCACTCAGATTAATTTGCCGAAAAAACAAAAAGGCCCGTTACGGCGATTTGAGGTCAATAAATGTTTTCAAGTTCACGATTGGATGTATTTTCCTGATTCAGTTTTTATAATTGCAAGAAATGTTTTAAGCAGATAGAAAGTCTGTACAAAATTAACCAAAGCAACATCTGCCAAAGATTTTCAGGTGAACTTATGACTGAGGACTTAGGTTGGAGTAACACCCTGACGTCGATTGGACTGTAATATTGTTTATCTGTAAAATATAAGTTTTACCGTGTGTAAATCTGTGTAAAATTGTTCTTTATTTTCGATATTTAGGGTTGTGTTTATGACTTAGAAGTGTTTAAAGCAGGGAAAAAAGGTTGGGGAGTACGAGCAAACGAAGCCATCGAGGCGTAAGTAATTTATACATATTATGTTAATTTATATTTGTTTTCTTTGTTTTATAAGTGATGTCGCTTTTAACGACAAACTCAGGACATCTTACGGCCAAGCCTACTTGAAATAAAAACTTTAAACAACACAGTTTTTAATTCTACCGTAGCATCAAGACCTCGATAATTCTTTCTTGAGATCATTTGGAGAAAATGCTAAATTTTCCGGATAAAGAACAAAACTTAATTCGTATCTCGTTAATTATTAATTCTTCAGTTTTTTGTTAACTTTTTTATCATTTTAGTGGTGCCTTCATCATTGAATATTGTGGCGAAGTTGTGAATTACAAAGAGTTCATGGAGCGGACCGAGACGTATGACCTGGAAAAAAGAAAACATTATTACTTTATGCTGCTTAAAGGAGACGAGGTGTTGTATCTTCCTGTCCTTGACTCTTTGGCTTTCTGGCAATTCTTGTGCGATTAGATTGTAATACCTGAAATGAAATGCTCTTGAGACATCAAATGATGATCCTACATGCAGGATGGCATATATTTTCAAACTTGGCGTGGTAAAATATGCAAATTGGCATATATAATGAGGAAAACATTTTTAAACAGCCCTTTGTATGCATGCCATCAACAGCTTAGGACACCGATTACTGTTAGAAATAGGCCAACAGTTTCAAGATGGCACCGTATTTAAAGTAGTTTGCACCTACTAAGGTAAAAAACGGCCAAAATGCTTGCTGAAATTCGTCTTCAGGTGCCAATCGACAATATCTTGAGAATGTTTGCAATATTTGATTGGTTTTTGTTTTGACCAATTCAGAGCTTGGTTTGTTCGGCCTCTTCTGTTTCAATTTTCAAGTTTGTTGCATCTACCCAGAATGAAAATCAAATTTTAACACAATTTTTTTGTCTTTTTGCACACAGGTTATTGATGCGACAAGAAGTGGTAGCATCTCAAGGTTTATTAATCACAGCTGCAACCCAAACTGTGTCACTCAAAAGGTATTTTCAAATTGTTAAAGAATCTTTCATGTCATAAAGGGACTGTCATGTTTTGGGGTGCATTATGCATGATGGTCTCGCCACACACAAGATCTCATTGCTCTAGCTCTTAATCTTTCTGGCAGCATCTGTAGTCTTTCTATTGAACAATAATTACTTTTTCAACCAGGCAATGCTTACAAGTATCGACCCCTTTTAGGCCTCCAAAAAGTTCTAAAATTCTGAAATTGTTAGGTTCTGCATCAAAACCAAAGTATATTATGATGTAAAGGGTACTCAAACAACACAAAATAAATTGTTTGAACGCGTTGTTGAAGTCTGGAATGAAATGCAACAAGAATTCATCAAACAGCATAATTTCATAAATATGACAAAACCGTTTTGGTTTTTACAAAATTTCATAAATATTTGTTTGATAAACTTTGGTCGCATCTTTCAATTTCCAACTGTTTAAATCCTCATTGTTTTATTAGTTCAAAGCTCTAGGTTTGTTTTCTTTCAAGCAGCCATCATCAGATCGCTAGATAGTACTAGCTTTAATTTTTTTTTCTTGTAGTGGACAGTCAATGGATTCCTCAGGGTTGGTTTCTTCTCGCTGAGAGAAATCCAAGCTGGTGAAGAACTCAGCTTCGATTACCAGTATCAACGATATGGGTAAGACCATTTTCTTCTTTATTCGACTTGATTCGTCAACTCAGGCGCTGGCTGGGGCACAGAAACACGGGGAAAACCCTTCCATTGACATGCTTCGATTTTTCACTCTCCAGAGCCCTTTATACTCGAAATGACAATTATTTACCATTCTCTGTCAAAGTTCTGCAAAATGAATCGTTTGTTTTTTCAAATACTAAAAGTCGCAATACTCGTTATTTGTACCTGAATATATTTGGTCAGCAAAAATAATGTGAGAATCCTTTATTCATCCTTTTTCAGTGAGAAAGCTCAGAAATGCTTTTGTGGATCCGTCAGTTGTCGTGGCGTGATTGGCGGCAAGCAAATGGTTCTAAAGCCGACAGGTAACTATCTTTGGGTGTTTCATTTCTTTTATAAAATCCAGCGCCTTAATATGGTGGCAAGAGGTCTGTGATCTCAATCAGACTGTGGTTAATGCTTTGCTAAATATAAAGTGGAGATGTATAAGCTTAAAACTCTTACATTTATCTAACTATGACTTGCTTTAATATGGGCTGTTATGTCTTTCCATAAAATGAAGTTTTATAATATTGTTTCTTTTGTACTATACTCTATATTCTACCATATATGTATAATATTCTCTAAAAAATGTATTTATTGTCCTATTGGTAAGACTAAAGTCATATATTTTATACAGGTTCAAATGGCGAGTCTTCGAAAAGAAGATCCAAAAAGAAGACATCTGATTATGAATCAGATTGCAAGGTAGGGGATCTTCCCCATGTGTAACTTATTTTCCTGATTTTCAATGTGCCAATGTTACCCTCGCTTTTGGCTACCTATCCACACCTTCGCTGCTTACTGATCACAGTATGAAGCGTTGATAAATGACTCAAAACATGGAAAAAATTATTAACCCGGTGCTATTTGCCACTGAAAAGCTTAATAGTAAAAGGTGTTATTGGTGGAATTTTGTCATTTTCACAAATGAGTTTCTTCTAGCTTGTAGGGAATGGACAAGCTCTAGTAAGAGATCTTATGCTCCTTCTCTCGATAACAGTTGGTTTCACATTGGACGGCCAGTAAATTCTTTTCGTCGCTCAGATAGTCAATTGATCCATTTTATTATTGTTGTCTCTTTAGTTGGTGAATCTTAAACATCATCCAAGCTTGTGTTTAAGCAGCTTGTTCATCCCAGTTTATATATGAGAGGTTTATTTGTAATGATTTCATGCAGATATAACATCACACCCCCCCCCCCACCACACCCCCCACCTGTAAATGCATTTGCTTAGATTCACTGGCACCTCAATGGTATATCACTCCTTTCGTTTCTTAACTTTTTCTCGTTTAATTTTCCAGCTAGAAGACGATATTAGTGAGCTACTTGGAGACGAAAACAAAATTACCAGCACGAAACAGGCTTTGGAACTCACCAGGTTGATGGTGAAAACCGAAACTATTGACGATCGAATTACTCTTTTAAAAATTGTTCGGGTTAGTAGAGAACAGTCATTTTCCTGCTTATATTCAACAGATTCAACAAACTGATTTTTGCTGTAGTCAAAAACGTACTAGTTTATGTAGGTTTAAGCACCAGTTGGGCTGGCGTAGCTTTTCAAGGGTCATTTTTCTCCGAATATTTTGTCTTCATACTTGTTTGCCATGCGGAACAGAGAATAGAGTTTTTCCAAGACAACCTTTGCACTACGTAAACTTAAGTTGTCTATAATGTAATCTTTAATGTGAAGCTGGGCTATCGTTTAACCGAATGATTAACCAAATATAATCGTTTTAACTGTTAAAACTATTTGATTTTTGTATTTTCAAAACTTTTAACCTTGAATTGCCGCTTAAATTGTGACTATTTATAGTCTTTGAAGGCAATTCTTGAAGTTATCCCAATTTTATTCTCTGTTAAATTTTAATGGTTTTTTTTTTCTTTTTTCCTCTCAGAATCAAAGCGACTCTAAAGCTTTAAAAGCTTTCATCAGATATAAAGGGTTATCCTTATTATGGAGCTGGATGGTTGATACGCCGGCAAAGGACATGGTTTTCAGATCGGAGGTAAAGTATCTAGTATTTTCGTCGTTTTCGAAGTTAAGTAGAAATTTTTCATCTCAGTGGAAATTACATGCATTAGAATTACATGCAGTGCAATGCTTGAATTAGACTAGGCATAATTACATGGAGTACAGAGTGTCTCTTATATTTGTGTTCAAAAAAATAACCTTAGAAAAGTAACGGAACTCTATCAGCAAAGTTTCCAGACCACTCGAATATCTTTTGTTTTCTGCTTCACACAGCTTATCATAATCAATGCCGAATAACCCTTCGTTGTAGCTACCGATTAAGATTTTCTCTTTTTCTGTGACGTATTTTATTACAGTGTATTGTTTTCTCTCAAATGCCATTCACTTGATTTTATTCCTATGGGATTTCAAGGTATTTCCTTTAGGGTATAATTTTGCTGTTAGCTGATTTGTAGTGCCTAGCGCACTTTTCATGTAAAATTTTAAAAACCTAAAAGGAAAGATTCCTCTTTCGTGAGCAAAGGCTAAGTAGGCAATGACTAAGTCACTATTTACACTCTCAAATTTTTCTCGGTTTTAGGTACTAAATACGCTGAAAATATTACCCATACCTAACAAAAATCATTTGGTGGACAGTAAAATATTGCCTCTAGTTGAAAAGTGGTCGCAGTGCAATGATTCACCCGACTCTTGTACAACGAGGTCGGATGAAGATGGCAGCTCAAGTGAAAACGAAGCTGGAGGAGCAGATGTCAAAGGAGAGGTAGACATTGATAAGAAAAAAACCGACAAATCTGCGAAAAACTCTACTGAGTCTAAAAATGCATCAACTGACGAAGAATCTGAATCTGAGAAGCAAGAAATAGTTGAAAGTATGGCAAATGAGTTATTGGATAACTGGAAGCACCTCAGGGTTAGTTTGGCGTTTTCACAAAGCTTGATACTGAATTATAAAACATAACAATTTGCTTGAACATCACTTGCATTTCCTCGCGTGCCTTGCGGTACCCAAGTTTCCATGTTGTTTTTAATGTAACGAATATTCTTACCAGGGGCTCCGTAATGACTATGAAATCTAGTTAATCTTTCATACAAATTTTGATTTCATACAACTATTTGTTTAAACAAACCAATCTATCATGAAATAATATATTTTTTGATAGGAAGTCTTCAAAATCCCAAAGAAGACGCAGCTTACCCCTGTGAGTACTCTTGTTATAAAATTATTAGATATTTACCGATTTCTTTATCAACAAAGCATGTTGGATTTTAATTATTTTTTACACATACTCTTCTGGTTATTTTTTTAAAAGTATCTTGTTTCGTAGAATCATGTTAGGAAACCCGTAATCTTCCTTGATTAAGAAAAAGTGGAATATAATGATTGAGTAAACTTATTTCCATACAAGATACATTTCATTGGGTCTGCAGGTACACATGGAGCCAACCCGGGACCGAAGGCCAGGCTGGAACCGGGGATCATAAAAGTCTGAAGACAAAAATAAACTAGTTTCAGGCTTCGAATTTCACAATGTGTGTTGATACAGGCCATTATGGGTCCCCATTTAAGCACGGCGCAGGGGGGATCGTTAACTTTCTCTCTAACGAGTTCGTTGGCTTGACAAAGGCAGTTTTCTATTAAAATTAAGCTAACTTGTTATTGTTCTTTTCTCAGTATCTTAGAAGTTTTCTTTATTTTCTGAACACCTTTGCTTTTGAAGGAGCAACTTAAACCGGGCACTGATGCTTCTTCATCTCCAGTCGATGAAAAAAGGTGAGATGTCCACAAGACTTTGATAAACCATATTTTATACTTCTCCTGATTGTTCATACTTTGAACATATGCTTCGTAGAACAATGATCAGCTGTTCTTTAACCTACAAACAGAGCATTTCGATACAAAGAAACATCCAATGTGGCGAATCTTCTTTGAAGTCAAAATCAAACCAAGCAAGCTGCATTATAACAGACTATTCATAGTCTGTAAGATTTTGATATTCAAGAAGTTACTATCAGCTGAAAAAACTGTATCGGGAAGCCTATTATCTGCAGCGGAGATCTTCTCCGTACGTTTATCAATAATATATCTTATCATTTTGTGAACAGCAATTCTTTTTACGTCAGCAATTTTTCTGCAGCAATTCACTTAAAAGCCAACTATATTCTGAATGAATAGGACTTATCTTTTACGCAGTGTTTTTTTCGAAGCCAGGGTTCTTTAAGTTACACGCACATTTCCTTTCACTGTAAGGTGGAACGTCTTTGACCAAAACACGTACCAGTCTGTGAAATGAATATATGTTTGTTCCCCCAAAAACTTAAAATAAGTTCACGTTAGATACATTTATTAGTAATCGATTTTACTAACTAGGAAATCTTTCCTAGGAATGGCAAACGGAAGATAGAAGGAGACAAAGCACATAGATTATTTTCACCCAACAAACGTCCATTTGGCCCTTTGCCTGGACAAAAGACACAGTCTCCTATCCGACCGTTTCCACAAGAACCATCAACATCGCCGTTCCGACCAGAATCCCCATGCGTTTCTGTGGCATCTCCGTCCACAGGGTGGCAAGGAAGTTCTACCGACGCTACTGACAATGTACAGCAGAAAGATTCCTCAAAAGCAAGTTTGATACAGAGGCTGTTGAAGATTACATCAGAAACAAGAGATGAAGATTCGCAGGGTGATAATTCTGAGAGACGAAATAGCGACAAAAAGCCCTATGGCGAGGATATGAAGCAGCAACGAGGTCGTGGACGAATCATCAGAGGTGGAAATAATGCTCCTTTCCGTGGTAGCCCAAAGCCTCATGACGATTTTGGTGTGGATCGAGGTAACTTTCGTGGAGGAAGAGGGGTTCGTGGGCGAGCACGTGGGCGAGGAAGGGGAAATTCGCATCACTTTGGGCGACAACATCACCAGTTCAATGATGTGGCTGAAAGACAGCCTTTGCCTGGAGTTAACAGTCCGTTTGGCAAACGCGATGCTGATCCTGGCCAGGGACGAGACTTTGCAGGAACAAGCGGGATGCTATTTCATCAAGATGGAAGCCGAATGCCGAATGATGGAAGCAGGATGCCTTCACCATACAACTACCAGACTTTGACCAAGCCACACCGAGAAAGACCCAGTCATCCCCATGATGCAGTCCATCTGGAAAGGCAGCAGAACATTCACAATGAAATGCCCGATACTTCGTCCCAGAGGTTCTCTCCAATGCGACACCCACGACCAAACCTAAATCGCTTTGGAAAGCCAGGTCAAGAATGGCAAGCGCCCGGTTCTCCATTCAATAGCTTTCGAAACCAGGTGAGTTTGGCGTGTAGTGTTTACAGGTAGAATTTAATTCAGACTGCTTTGATGAACGAATAGGCCAGTGAGTTGGATCTTCTTGGTTTGTCGTACTCGACATATGAAACAAGGAATGGCGATGTGTCCTGAAACTTCGAGGAGTAACATTAAAATATCTTGTTGTCCATTAAAACCCAGGAAGCGTACCTTAAAACAAAAATCAAATGCGTCGTTCTGGATGATCAGCTTTGAAAAACTGTTAACTTGAATTATTTCTTAAGATTCTTTCTTAAATTCTAACGTGAGTTACCTTTTTTTCGTTCCTTGAATTATTCCTTAGTCATATGAATAGAGCCAGTCTTAACTTGCCTAATACATTTATTTCTTGTTTGATTCACGAAGCTCTCCTGTTTGTTGTTCCCTTTTTTAGATTAAAAATTCTATGTAATTTTACTCAATGGGACAAATCGACCTTGTCCATTCCATCAATCTTCTTTCCGCCTTCCTCCTATTATCCTTCATTTTTCCTTTAAGGCCCAACAAGGATTCAATCCAGCAGGGATGCCCGCCAGCATGAATCCGACCATCAATCCAAGCAATGCTCCTCCACCTCACTTCGGAACGCCACCGCTGTCTTCGCGACCTCCAATGGCTTCACAGCCCCCTCTTTCGTCCCAGTTACCATTGACTTCACAACCCCCTCCCTTGTCTTCTCATCCGCCCCCGCATAACCTGCCTACGCAGACAAATCCTATGCAAAACTGGAATCATAATTGGCCAATCCCTCCACGCCAGGTATGTTGCTCAATATTTGTCAGACTTTTTATCACAAGGGGGATGGGGCACGTCCTAAACTATGAAGTGGGGGTGCCTTATAGCAGGGGCTGTGTTTACCTGCCTCCTATTTCTTGTGGCACCCTTTTTAATTGACACAGAATATGAAATTCATTTAAGATACTTTGTTAAATTGTACATTGATTTGTTGATTGTATTCATGTTAAATTGTACAATGATTTGTTGATGCTCTACTTTCTGTCAAACTATTCCTAAAAGCAGTGGTAGGTCATGCAAATACTGAATATGTAAGCGGACATGACGACGCCATTTTGGCATGTAGGATGTAAAACAAATTCTGCCAAATGGATTGCCAAAGCTTTCTTTAATCGTACCCTCTTTATATCTGTATCTTCTTAAATATTCCGTTAGCATAGCCAAAACACACTGATATCATTCGCTTCTCGCATTCCGCTTCTCGCAATTCCTCAATTGTATCCAATTTTTGTTTCTGTCCTAGGGCTACCCCCCACAGAATCTGCCACAGCCTTTGCCTACTCAGAATCTGCCACACCCTGCTGTTAATCCAGTGAATTTAGTTAACCGCCCCCCGTCCCTACCAAATACCAACCCCACGCCAGTTCCCCCGTTTCCTTTCAATCCGGACCGAATGCCAAACCAAGCAATCGTGCCATCGCCACAACAGCCACCTCCATTCTTTGAAGCTCCCCAGCAACCACCGGTTCTTCCGAATATGCCTCCTAAACCGTTTGTTCCAAACACTGGACAGGAACACAGTCAGGCGACCACTGCCTCCATCATTAAGCACCTTCACGAGCTAGCTCAGCAAAGCAAGTTAGTCAGTGCGCAGCAGCAGCAGCAGATACAACAGCAACAGCAACAGCAACAGCAACAGCAACAAGAACAGAAACAACAGTTGCAACCAATTGAACAGATGCCTCTTCAAAAACAGCAACAACAACAAAATCAGCAACAGCAGCAGCCACCAAAAATAGATAAAATTGAAGATTATGGACAGAAAACGCCAGAAACTGGTGTTGACAACGGAATTTCATTTGTGACCCCGGTGAAGGAAAAGCAAAAGTACAGAAAATCTACGGGAACCCCTGAAGTAACGGAAAGCAGCTCAAAAACCATCTCTTCCTTGCCGCCAAACTGGAAAACAGCGACAGATCCCGAGGGAAAGGTCTATTATTATCACGTGATCACTAGGTAGGTTATAATGATATGAAACTTTATTTGCCGAACCCTGGAGGAGATGTTATTTCTTAAGTCATAGTCTAAGAAGTTTAGTTTATCATAACTTGTTACTTTGTTTTTGCAGAAAGACCCAATGGGATGTTCCGAAATGGGAGGAAGAAGACGCCAAGAAACAACCAAATGTATGCTACAGTCTTCATTATAAGCAAATTCTCTACATCCATATTTCTTGATAATCTCAATTCATAACAATTATAGAATGTTAACTCTTTAACTGTTATAGATGGCTATACCCTGCATGCAGCTTCCATTTTTATAAGTTGCCATTCCTGGATTTCTATTTTGTTTTTTCAACAGAATCGTTGTATTTTGCAGCAAAGAAGCTCGTCGTCCATCACTGCCGGTCCAAGAACCCCGCCTGCGTCTCCTCCACACTCGCCAATATCCCCCGCACTCTTCTCTGAAAGACCTCAAGCCATTTCAGATCCTTCTGTCAGCACGACGCGAATGAGCACGGGACATTCCTCGGGACAGACTGAGCACCTGACACCTAAACAGCAAAAAATTAGGGATGTTTTTAAAAATAAGGTATGTAGATGACTTTCATTGGTCATATATTCATTCAAACTTTCGCAGAATGAATATTTCCAAAGATTCTTTCTGGATACAAGGCACCCTTTTTTCAAAATCGACTTCTGATTACCATCAAGCTATGCGTAATTTTGTCGTTTTACCTGCTTTTCTTTATAAGCCGCATTTTAATTTGACTTTGGTGACTGTTCTACTTCTTTTCTAGACCCAACTGCAAAGGCCGACTGCCTTTTTATTCTGCTTTTAGTAAGCTCGTTCCTAATAGAGTACGACAGCATGATGTCATCAAAAATCCTTTTTTTAGAATTTCTTAAATTTGACCACATTATCTTAAAGAACGGCATAAAATACTTCTCAACATGCAAAATCAGTTAGATATGTTCAAATTGGGCAATATTGAAAATTTTGAAAACAGATTTTTGTGACGTCATCATTTTTGTACTCTCTTGTACTTCTCTATTTTGTTATCCTATTCATTTTCCCTCTATTTTGCTATCCTATTGCCAATTCCGTATATCAATTTCTTGATATGATTTTCAGTGTTGTTTCGTTTTTCTCCAGTTATCTGCTGTTGTTGTCAACTGCCTGAATCCGTATCAAAAAGTCGATTGTAAACAGGCAAGGATCGCAAAGATTGAAGATTTCAAATTTTTAGCAAGAAAAGTATGTATGGGTCTTCTTTGATAATGATTGTACGATATATTTGATTTATTGATATTGACGATCACTGATTATACGATATATTTGATTGATTGATATTGATGATCACTGAATATACTGATCACTGATTATACTGATCACTGATTATACGTAAGTTGATATATTGCTCAGTCAAAATGTCTAGGTCAGTTTTGAAAGATTTGTCTGACGTCTTGTTGCTTCAATATCTAACTGCTATTTCATTTCATAATTTACGGCCTTGAATAAAAACGAAATTGAAAAAATCGTATGATATATAAATGTTTAAAATCTTGCTTTTTGAAGCTCACACACGGGTTGATGATGAAAGAGCTGGCGAGAGTAAAAGCAGACGAGGAACTTGAATGCAGCGATTCTGTAAAAATTAAAGTCAAGGAGTATATTAGGAATTACATGCGCAAATTTGGTCAGTTTTACATCCGATCATGACAATGAAAACCGAAATGTGAGTATATTATTTTTAAGATTTTCTGTTTCCTTTGGTAGTCATTTAATATTTTTATATTTTATCGCATCTTAATGAACCAAGAGTTGGAAATTCTGGTAAAAAAGTAGTCCCCCGATGGGAGACTAACAGCTCTTTCAGTGGTCTCCTGCATTTGGCCTGTGATCTCCCAAAATGGATCTCTGATTTTTAATCCAAATATGTGTTTCAATTGTTAGTATGTGTTGGGCTCAAGAAAATGGACTTTGGGGACACAGTCTAATATGCATCACATTGCATGGAAGGACCAGCCACTAGTTTAAAGATTATTGAGGTTTACAGCTAGTTCTGCATTCTTGCATAGAACTACAGAACTTTCAACTGAAACAAAGTGTCTGGTCTTGTTACTTTTGATCCAATCATCTTTTTTCACTTCGTCAGTCCCAGAAATGAGCTGTTATCAGGAGAGTCTTGTGTAAGGATGATTGTACAAAGGGCTGGTTAAGAGATGGTCCTATGTGAGGATAGTCTTATCATTCACGTGAATAGTCGTACCTAAAAATTGTTGTACATGAGAATAGTTGTACATAAGGAAAATCCTACAAATGTATTGTTGTACACTAAGATAGTCGTTCATGTGAATATCGTAAAAAAATTGTCGTACATATGGATTAAGGGAAGTCTTATTAGAATGGTGAAATCATTTTTCAAGTTTCCTGTTGGCCTCCATACGATTGGTCTCCCTTCTGTTGCAGAAATTCAACTATGTTTGAAATTTTCGTGTAAATGGGGAAATTATGGAAGGAGAGAGCAAGAGAAAACGAAGATTTGGAATGCAGAACTCCACTGTTGTTGTCATTATCATTTGATATTATTTAATTTTTTGATGCTAATAATGTATTTTATTTTGAACTGTGTGGAAATTAGATTTTTGTTTTTAAGCGGCGGGTATGGTGGTTGATGTATTGGAAAATTTTCCTCTGAGAAATCGCCTCTGAGAAATTTTTAGGGGTTCTTTCTCAGATTTCGCCCAGTGAAAAATCGTTTATATTCGCTATGTAGTCATATGATTTTTCAGAAGTCTTGCACAGTGTAAGGTTATAAGAGGTTATCATAAAACTCTAGCATGTTTTTCTAACCATCGTACATTTAACTGTTTAAAGGATATGATTAGTAAACAGGACTAAAACTGAGTACCATCCAGATTCTTTCTTCTCCCTGCTGTAGCAGCTTAGTATCTGATTCTTGGGTATGTGGAATAAATGCCCAAGTCCTGCACATTAGTCTTTGATTTCCTCCCCGTATCAGTTACATGTTTTGATTCTAGTTGTGGTTTATTTATTGGTACACATAAACAAAAGTATCTCCTGGCATAGCCTGTCACATTTAATACGTAGGTAACATCAACTAACGATAACAAGCCGCTCAGTCAAGGTTTTTAGGAATATCTGTGGGCATCTGCGGGTATCTGTGGGCATCTGCGCGTATCTGTGGGCATCTGCGCATATCTGCGGGTATCATGCGTTCCCCAAGAACGTAGAAGCATCAAACAATGTAATCGACCTTCTATAATCGTGTAATCGTCTCTCATGGAATAGTGACTTCCTATTTCTCGGAAAGCCTGAGGTTTTTAAAGCATTTGCCAATAGCTATTTGATGTATATAAATGTAGTCTTATAATGAAACAGTATGGCCGCACATAATCACTATTGACTGTGACACATTCATAATGTTTCTTAATCTAAGCATGTTTCAATTTTCATAAAAACATTCTTGATTTCGTATTTTTTCAGTTCTCTCTTTTGGAATAAATAAATCCCTTCTTACCAAAATTTGATGGATCAAAAACAACAACAAAGAAGATAAATGAATTCATTCTACAAGAGATTATATTTTGTGTATTTTCGATTATTCCCAGACAATCTCTAGAAAACAATATGCCAATCAAAATTTTAATGACCAAAAATGTTTTTTTTGGTAAGCCTATAATCTTACTTTTTGTCCAAAGTGGATGCCATTCTTTAGGTAATAGTTCCGTACAAAAAAGCACTAGAAAATTCAAAAACCAAGTCTAAGCTATATTTCTCGGTGTTTTACGTCATTTCCAGTCATATAATTTCAAAAATTATTTCAACGAAAAATATCATCTTTTGTAAGCCTATAGCCTTACTTTTTGGGCAAAATCGGTTAACTTTTTCTGGTAAAAATTCCGTACAAAAAAGCACTAGAAAGTTCAAAAACCAAATCTATGCAATATTTCTCCATGTTTTACGTCATTTCCAGTCATATAATTTCAAAAATTATTTCAACGAAAAATATCATTTTTTGTAACCCTATAGCCTTACTTTTTGGGCAAAATCGGTTAACTTTTTCTGTCAAAATTTCCTTACAAAAAAGCACTAGAAAGTTCCAGAACCAAATCTATGCAATATTTCTCGGTGTTTTACACCATTTCCAGTCATATAATTTCAAAAAATATTTCAAGAAAAAACGTCATTTTTGATAAGCCTATAGCCTTACTTTTTGAGCAAAATCGGTTAACTTTTTCTGGTAATAATTCCTTACAAAAAAGCACTAGAAAGTTCCAAAACCAAATCTATGCAATATTTCTCGGTATTTTACGCCATTTCCAGTCATATAATTTCAAAAAATATTTCAACAAAAAACGTCATTTTTGATAAGCCTATAGCCTTACTTTTTGAGCAAAATCGGTTAACTTTTTCTGGTAATAATTCCTTACAAAAAAGCACTAGAAAGTTCCAAAACCAAATCTATGCAATATTTCTCGGTGTTTTACGCCATTTCCAGTCATATAATTTCAAAAAATATTTCAACAAAAAACGTCATTTTTGGTAAGCCTATAGCCTTACTTTTTGGGCAAAATCGGTTAACTTTTCTGGTAAAAATTCCTTACAAAAAAGCACTAGAAAGTTCCAAAACCAAATCTATGCAATATTTCTCGGTATTTTACTCCATTTCCAGTCATATAATTTCAAAAAATATTTTAACAAAAAACGTCATTTTTGGTAAGCCTATAGCCTTACTTTTTGGGCAAAATCGGTTAACTTTTCTGGTAAAAATTCCTTACAAAAAAGCACTAGAAAGTTCCAAAACCAAATCTATGCAATATTTCTCGGTATTTTACTCCATTTCCAGTCATATAATTTCAAAAAATATTTTAACAAAAAACGTCATTTTTGGTAAGCCTATAGCCTTACTTTTTGGGCAAAATCGGTTAACTTTTCTGGTAAAAATTCCTTACAAAAAAGCACTAGAAAGTTCCAAAACCAAATCTATGCAATATTTCTCGGTATTTTACTCCATTTTCAGTCATATAATTTCAAAAAATATTTTAACAAAAAACGTCATTTTTGGTAAGCCTATAGCCTTACTTTTTGGGCAAAATCGGTTAACTTTTCTGGTAAAAATTCCGTACAAAAAAGCACTAGAAAGTTCCAAAACCAAATCTATGCAGTATTTCTCGGTATTTTACTCCATTTCCAGTCATATAATTTCAAAAAATATTTTAACAAAAAACGTCATTTTTGATAAGCCTATAGCCTTACTTTTTGGACAAAATCGGTTAACTTTTTTTGGTAAAAATTCCTTACAAAAAAGCACTAGAAAGTTCCAAAACCAAATCTATGCAATATTTCTCGGTATTTTACGCCATTTCCAGCATATAATTTTAAAAAATATTTCAACAAAAATATCATTTTTTTGTAAGCCTATAGCCTTACTTTTTGGGCAAAATCGGTTAACTTTTTCTGGTAAAAATTCCTTACAAAAAAGCACTAGAAAGTTCAAAAACCAAATCTATGCAATATTTCTCGGTATTTTACGCCATTTCCAGCATATAATTTTAAAAAATATTTCAACAAAAATATCATTTTTTTGTAAGCCTATAGCCTTACTTTTTGGGCAAAATCGGTTAACTTTTTCTGGTAAAAATTCCTTACAAAAAAGCACTAGAAAGTTCAAAAACCAAATCTATGCAATATTTCTCGGTGTTTTACGCCATTTCCAGTCATATAATTTCAAAAAATATTTCAACAAAAAACGTCATTTTTGGTAAGCCTATAGCCTTACTTTTTGGGCAAAATCGGTTAACTTTTTCTGGTAAAAATTCCTTACAAAAAAGCACTAGAAAGTTCCAAAACCAAATCTATGCAATATTTCTCGGTATTTTACGCCATTTCCAGTCATATAATTTCAAAAAATATTTCAACAAAAAACGTCATTTTTGGTAAGCCTATAGCCTTACTTTTTGGGCAAAATCGGTTAACTTTTTCTGGTAAAAATTCCTTACAAAAAAGCACTAGAAAGTTCCAAAACCAAATCTATGCAATATTTCTCGGTATTTTACGCCATTTCCAGCATATAATTTTAAAAAATATTTCAACAAAAATATCATTTTTTTGTAAGCCTATAGCCTTACTTTTTGGGCAAAATCGGTTAACTTTTTCTGGTAAAAATTCCTTACAAAAAAGCACTAGAAAGTTCAAAAACCAAATCTATGCAATATTTCTCGGTGTTTTACGCCATTTCCAGTCATATAATTTCAAAAAATATTTCAACAAAAAACGTCATTTTTGGTAAGCCTATAGCCTTACTTTTTGGGCAAAATCGGTTAACTTTTTCTGGTAAAAATTCCTTACAAAAAAGCACTAGAAAGTTCCAAAACCAAATCTATGCAATATTTCTCGGTGTTTTACGCCATTTCCAGTCATATAATTTCAAAAAATATTTCAACAAAAAACGTCATTTTTGATAAGCCTATAGCCTTACTTTTTGAGCAAAATCGGTTAACTTTTTCTGGTAAAAATTCCTTACAAAAAAGAACTAGAAAGTTCCAAAACCAAATCTATGCAATATTACTCGGTATTTTACGCCATTTCCAGTCATATAATTTCAAAAAATATTTCAACAAAAAACGTCATTTTTGGTAAGCCTATATCCTTACTTTTTGGGCAAATTCGGTTAACTTTTTCTGGTAAAAATTCCTTACAAAAAAGCACTAGAAAGTTCCAAAACCAAATCTATGCAATATTTCTCGGTGTTTTGCGCCATTTCCAGTCATATAATTTCAAAAAATATTTCAACAAAAAACGTCATTTTTGGTAAGCCTATAGCCTTACTTTTTGGGCAAAATCGGTTAACTTTTTCTGGTAATAATTCCTTACAAAAAAGCACTAGAAAGTTCCAAAACCAAATCTATGCAATATTTCTCGGTGTTTTACGCCATTTCCAGTCATATAATTTCAAAAAATATTTCAACAAAAAACGTCATTTTTGATAAGCCTATAGCCTTACTTTTTGAGCAAAATCGGTTAACTTTTCTGGTAATAATTCCTTACAAAAAAGCACTAGAAAGTTCCAAAACCAAATCTATGCAATATTTCTCGGTGTTTTACGCCATTTCCAGTCATATAATTTCAAAAAATATTTTAACAAAAAACGTCATTTTTGATAAGCCTATAGCCTTACTTTTTGAGCAAAATCGGTTAACTTTTTCTGGTAATAATTCCTTACAAAAAAGCACTAGAAAGTTCCAAAACCAAATCTATGCAATATTTCTCGGTATTTTACTCCATTTCCAGTCATATAATTTCAAAAAATATTTTAACAAAAAACGTCATTTTTGGTAAGCCTATAGTCTTACTTTTTGGGCAAAATCGGTTAACTTTTCTGGTAAAAATTCCTTACAAAAAAGCACTAGAAAGTTCCAAAACCAAATCTATGCAATATTTCTCGGTATTTTACTCCATTTCCAGTCATATAATTTCAAAAAATATTTTAACAAAAAACGTCATTTTTGGTAAACCTATAGCCTTACTTTTTGGGCAAAATCGATGACTTTTTTTGGTGATAATTCATTACAAAAAAGCATTAGAATGCTCCCAAATGAAGTCTCTACTATATTTCTCGTTTTTTTACATCATTTCCTGTCCTAAAAATCCAAAAAGTATTTCGACCAAAAATATAGTTTTTGGTAAAACCTTACTTTTTGGGCAAAACCGATGACATTTTTTCATTGCTGATAATTCTGTACAAAAAAGCATTAGAAAGTTTCAAATATAAATCTTATTAATATTTCTTGGTTATTTAAAATCATTTCCAGTCATAATCAACTAAAAAATATCATTTTTTATTAGCTTGTAACCTCACTTTCTGCCCAAAATTGATGATATACGTTCGTTCGGAGATGATTCTGCACAAAATCTATAATGCTTTATAATGCTTTCAGTTTAACTCCAGCCCAAAACGGATTTGCAAGCTATCGCTGTCTTTCAATTCTTATAGTTGAAAATTTCTTAAAGTATGTATCGTATGACATCATTTTCATTAAAACATTCTATTCTGAAGAAATCACTTATTATTGGAGGAAATTTGTTGTTTGGCAAAGCTGTTAGACAAGATTCTGTTAGAGAGTTTCTCTCCGCAACACAAATGTGACAGAACACCAGTGATTTCGTATTATTTTAGCTTCAGACTTGGACCATCAAGACTTTCACTTGCAGGACAGGGGGTCTGAAAGGGTAGAGAAAATACTAAAGGCTTATTTATCAAAATTGAAAAAGAATTATGATTGAAAGGAGCAGGGGCACCTTATCAAAATGTAACGGATTAAACCATGTTTTTAATGAAAATCACAATGCGAATGTTACAAGCAAGTTTTCATTAAAAACTGGGCGAGTCTTTCCTTACCAACGCAAGAGACCAAAAACTACATACCAACACGTTTGTAAAGTACGGTGTCAATAAAATATAACCTTTATTAGACTTAATTTGACATAAACCCTTTCTTTGTAAAGATTTGTTCCCACTACTAAAATGAACTTTGAAGTTATCATTTAAGATAAATTCTTAATTGCAAATAAAGCATATCGAGAATAAACAAAATGTTTTCTCTTAACATACTTAGCATTGGAAAACAATCAACACAACAATGGATAAAAGAGAAGGCTCAGATCTTCATGTTCAAAAAATCACCATGTTGCATGTAAGCATGGTTAATGCAAATTGTTTGGAGATCACGGGCGGACACGTACGGCTTCCCTGAGTCCGGAAACTGCCAGTGTTCAGAATCCTTTTGGGGCTTATGAAGCAGCTACACGCAGTGAAGAAATATCTTTGTATTTCCCAACCATGAAATGCAGAGGAACGTTGCTATATCGGATTCAACAAACGTACCTCGAATAAAGAAGCCTCGACTTCATTAGGAGATATCTTCACGTCGTATTGCCCTCTGCCGCTCGCTCTTTGCGTAGCAAACTCTCTTGTTTGGCTTCTTTTACTCTCTTAAGGTCCGGGTTGATTAGGAAAAGGAACTTCAAGCCACAGATCTGAAATTCAAAAATTTTGTCTCCATTGTTATAAAATTAAAGCTCTTGATTTAATTTACTTAATTCAACTTACTGCTCTACAACTCCAACTAATAATGTACATCGTGTTTTTTGACGTAGTGACAAGAAAAAATGATCCAGGATAAAACACATGTACAGCAATGCAAACACGTAAACAAGATGTTCCTCAAGTCACTGAAAAGATCTGGTAGCCTAACATCCATCAAAGTATAAGATATTAAATGACAACAAAATAGAAATGTTATGGGAAGAATAACGTCCAGAAAACATAAAGCCTCTAAAGAAAGAACAAGCCCAGTGTGACAAAGCCTTTTTATTTTCAAGTTTACTTTTTGACAACCTTTTAATGCAGCCAAAGACAAAGCATCTATAGTAAACTTCTGACCCAAGGGAAATGTTTTGCACTCAATAAATTGTCAATCAATTAACTTGCAATATAGTTGAGCGGTACATATTTAGGGTGCATACCAGAGCGTCTTGTTCATCAAATTCCTATTCGAGTTTTCCAATTCAACAAAGAATAATATTTTCCAAAAAAATCTAACTTATTACGTTTGACCACTACATATCGATGGACTAGAGATTGAGAAACGAGAGAAATGGCTTAAAAACTTTCCATGTATCATTTTCAAGTCCTTAGTAGATACTTGTCCTAACATTGAGAATTACTTCTCTGCACATATTAATCCGCTTTAAACAGATGAAACAATGAAAACTTTCTTCGTAGCAACAAGTACGGAAACCTAAATGTTTTAAATACAAAATGAAATGTAGAGATTTACCTCCAATGCACTGTTATGCGGTAACTGTATTGATGATCCGGCAACCACAGGGGCACCATTAATGAACACAGGGCGTCTGCCTTGATTATGCAGCATAAATTTGCCATCGTTCGTCATTTTGATCATGCCATGTCTACGCGAGATTTTCCACGTAGGGCCTTCCAGCGAGAAATCGATATCTACACGCGTGTCGGACGTATTTCGGCCAAAGGTTATCTGCAAAAAAGAATATATCAAAAGATTACTATTACCCAAAAAACCACCTTTTAAACTAAAAGCTATCAATAGATAGAGTCCCCCTTTAATAACGTAACATAATATGACTACATAAGTCTAGGCCGTATGTCTATGAGAATAGATAGAAGCTAAACTAATGCTGATCATTATGAATTTGATCTCTTGTGTTCGAAAATCACTACCTTCTTCAATTGATCTTTAATTCAGCATTAAACTAGCCAATTTCCATGAAAAGAGGATCGAAATTCAAGCTGGCTTAAACTTAATTTTAGAAATTGCGCTTGAAGTTTAATGCTTCATTTAAACGTAAACTTGTAGCCAATCTTATTGATAAAAAGCTCTGTTGTGAAACTCATCAGTAAAAGGACTTAACAAAATTAATTAAAACAACTTTCTGGTCCATTAAAAGGAGAAAGCAAACAAGAATAAAAATCGAATGTAACTCATAACTCGAACTAATTGCTGGGGCAGGATTTTCAACTCTGGGGTGTTTTATCAAACGAAGCAGCAAAACTCACCTCTTTAGACCTCATAAGGTAACGTACAACCCTTCCGCGAAGAACTGCAAGGGTTTGTGAATCGAATTCTGAGACACTTGAACCTAGAAGAAATAAACAATCTCAATCAAGCAGGGTTGATAATGTTACATTTCACCCTATAACTCTATCTTTTTGAAAAGGGTTAAATTGAACGGTGCGATTTTCAAACGAGAGAAAAGATCTGTATCTAGTGCAAATGCGTTGACCGCAAGGCCTACAGACTCGTCCACGCACATGGTATAATCACATGTAGCCTACGACAATAATGTCTCGCATTTATAGCAATTTAGTACACATTGCTTGCACTTCCATTTTTACAAAAAGATTACTTAACTATTTTTTATCTATTTTTTATTGTCATTTTCTATTTTGACATGTTATTGTCTAAAGAAGCTAAAGAATGACTGTTTATCCAAATTTAAATTTCTTTCTAACAATAATTGGTATTTATTTGCACAAAAAATTGCCTTTACAGAACTTTAAACTGAAAAAGGTGGTATGGCATAACAAGACACATCTACAAATCTGGTGAAAATGAAATAATCCAAAAAACTCACCACTGCCAATCATTTCATCCACAATAACCTGCCACTGGGGAATCTCCTCCTCCAGCCGTTTCAATTCTCTCTTTTGCCTTCGATCAACGGAAAACAGCTCTTGATCTAGCATTTCGTCTTTTGATTCTCTAAAATCAAAGGGAACTGTCAAATATTAGCATTTTCATTTGACATAAAGAACATTTCCTAAAATTGCTAGTTTAAACAAGCAAAACAAAGTAGCAATAGAAATGTTTATACAGGATAAATAATTTTCAGTGCCAATGGTGCTGTTATGAATCATGGTCCCGATAAAATAATTACAACGTTACAAAATCTTGAAGTGTACAACAATACGTTAAAATCCTTTAAAATTGTGTCGCCTGTGTCATAATACATTATTTAGGGAGAAGAAGACTTAGAGCATTGCTCGCAGCTCGAGTTTGTAAAAATTCAATGCAGTAACTTATGCCTACCATTTGAAATATAATATAAGATTACAGTATAAGACAATATAAGGGCCGGGTTTACTTACACACTGACTACTTCAACATGTATTCAAAACTACAAAATTAAGCAATTGCTTATTATCTTTTGCGTTCACAATTGCTTATTATCAAGCCAAATACGATAAGAGAAGTGGGAGCCCAACAATGAAATTTTAATTCAACTCAATGGAAAGGTAGGAAAAGGAAACAGTTAAAAGCAGTAGAGTCTGCACGGAGGCAACAGTCGCCTGTGTTGGATATTGAAACAATCTGAAAATGGTCGAAATGGAGAATCAAGAGTTTTACACAAAGCAGGTGGCCTAAAAATGGTTTAAATGACAGTACACTGTGATCTTTGGTTATCTATGAATCCCTTTAGAAATAATTCTAAGCAACTGTCCAAACTTGCACAAAAAACTAGCACATCATTCAGGTTTTTCTTCAGTAAATAAAGAATTGGAAATGATTATTTCAAATTCTAGAGCTCATGTTCATGACAATGTTGGCATCCCGGGAATGATTCCAGAAAAGGAAGCTTTAAATGATTTTATCTTTTAGAAAAAAGTTTATACGGCAGTAGGCCCTACTTTGAAATAAGACTTACAAAATTTCATCATCATTGAGTCTCGATTCCATATCGTGAAGATTCACATCAGTCTCACTTGAGCGGGCTATGGAACCAATAAAAAATTCAAATAAAAATAGAAATTTGAGGCTGCTGGTCAAGCAAAATTACAGTCGAGACAAAATGCATTTTCGCAAATTTATTCAACAACTGAAATCGTCAACAAATCAATCCAGCTCTTAGCACTTAGATCATATGCAAGTTTCCACTAATTGATACAAAAAATTTTCCAAATCATTAGGGAAGAAAAATCATTGCCGTGTGTCGGGTGTGTTAGAAACATGAAATTCTCACACTTTTTGATATGGTTTAGGAGAAGCTTTAGCCTACAGATTAAAAGTATGGGTTGAAAAATGAGGTTCTGGCTGCGAAAGATCTTAATATAAAAACGCGGGGAGATGGTAAATAAAAACACTTCTGAGAAATAAACAGCTTTTTTTGGTCAGTAAGAAAAATTTATCTTTTTAGTGCATTCAGTTTCCTCAAAACTATGTTGACCAGTTCTAGTAAATTTGAATTTGAATAGCAAATTCCAATTAAGCCCTTAATAATAAAAAACTTTAAAACAGCATAAAAAGCGACAACACGACAATCCTAAGAGATAATAAGGGAAAAGATATGCAACAATCAAAATCAAGGAAAGGATCAATAATTTGAATCACAAATTTTCCGCATCTGGATAAAAGATTTTTGCTTTCATTTTGATCATGAATGATCTATCCTTTTATACTTAGGAGCATCAGAGAAAACCCTCACACATCATCAAATCATTAAAGGGCTCGAGTTAACAAACCAAGTTATAAAATGGGCTCGAGATATAAAATTGCTGACCCTTAACATAAATAGCACGTACCAGACTGATCTGACAATAACTGATAGTGCTTCATTAACAGCCAGTGGTTCAGCAACGCTTTTGCGGTTCTTGATTTGTGAAAAATACTCTGATTCTCCTCGAAAAGATTCTCGAATCTCTGTAAATTTGGGTTGCTGTTCTGTGGTGATTGGATAATAGCATTTATTATCAAAAGCAAAACAACATCTGCTGAAGTTATTATGATTTTATAAATGTTAACAACATATCTAAAACTCCTGTATTTTTAAAGACACCAATTGATGACGTCTTTTTCATGGAGGGTACAGATTTTTAACTAGGTACAGTAGACTGTGATTTAAGTCACAACAAATGTGGCTTGAAAAGTTGTGATTGTGAACTAATTATGACTTCAAGCGGAATAATTTTGGATGTTTGTGATGAATCCTGCAGTCTGCCTACAACAAGAGCAAACATTGAAAGTTACCCTAATACACTGAGGTAAGTGACCCACCGATGCAATGTCAACAAGCACTAGTTCCTCTTCTTTGCTCCATAATGCACTGCTCTGGATACCTTGTATCACGTCGGTTGGTAACTGTTTCATGGCTTGCTGAGATAGCCTGCAATGAAATTAGACCATGCTCATATGCGATTTAGTGCCGAGTAAAAACAAACAGATCTTTGATCTAGCTTCTTAGTTTTTTGTGACAGCTTCCTGAACAAATCTTTGTTCTCGTGTAAATGTAAGATTAAATGTAAGATTAAATTTGCTTATAGAAAAAGGACCTTTTTCGGCATGCCGTAAAAACCAGACCCTAAGACCCAGGACCCTTAAGTACTAACATTAAAAGGGACCCTTAACACCAGAATGAATTTCAAATCTATTATAGAAATACTCAGATTTATTGAAATATATGCAGTTGAATGTTGTTAAGTTGTAACCCAGAAAACATAGACTTTCACTAGGCTGGACTTATATCCAATTCCCATTGAATTAAAAAAATGGTGCCATAGATCAGAGAGACACTTGCTAAGTCAGACCATTTCCTTATCACCCCCCCCCCCTACCCCTTTAAAGTATAAATTAACAACATACTACAACTATAGCTGTAATAAGGAAACTTCCAGCGAGGGGCAAGAGAAGAATAGAAACTGTTTCTTTCTATGCTGTGACATTCTAATAATGAGCAGTTTGTTAGGCATCGAAATGATCTACAGGCAACATATTCCAAATCACTTACTTTGAAACCACTGGATCGTACAGCAAAGCATACCACCTTTCTTGGACTTCCCGTAATGTGAAATGACATGAGAACTTTACCCCAAGGTGAACTGCATTGAGATCATTTGTCTAAAAAAAGTAAAATAGTAATTAAGTATAATGTATTTTATAACCTAGCAGAGTACTGACAGTATTTCACACTGTAGTGCTGACTGCCTATGAATTATATTTTTTGCTTTCTGCATCACATATGAAAAAAACTAGGAGAAATAATCAGTATTCTAATCACCATTTGCAGGAGCTTTGTGATTATGGCCCTCTGCAATTATTGGTAATATTCACAGGGTGGGCCTCCCAAATCAATGGAAGAGAAAGCTTTACCTGTTGAACAGCTGTTATCAAAGCCAGATCATCAGTAGGTCTCCATCTTCCAAAATCTGATGGAACAGGCTGGGGCTAAAAGAGTTAAGAACCTAATAGTAAAATGTATAATTATATACAGAACAGGGAAAGATTTATAACTAGGGGCTATGATAAGTACCTAAGCAGGATAAATAAAGAGAAACCCTAGGATAAAAGTGGTAGAAATTCAGCTCAATAAGGAAGTTAACGAGTAGCAAAAGAGATACCATGATTTAAATGTGTTGCACCCAAGCCAATAATGGAGAGAACCAACACCAACAGAAAATATTGATGTAGAGAATGTTGCTTTAGTTAAGCCCATGTGGGGAACCATCATCTGCATTCCATTAACCTAGTTCTTCAAAATGAAACAACTTACTATGTTCTCCTCTTAGAAATTTGCGTCAAGAGGCTCAAGAAAGTCTATAAATTTACAACAACCAAGTTAATTTAGGGCCTACAAAAATGTGATCAAGAAGAAACAATTGTAAGGTTTTGCAACTTGATACCAAACAATGATTTAATTTCTATCGATATAAGAAAACTTCATCACTTTTACATTAAATGCATTTAATAAAACATCATGTTATGATAACATAAATAGAAATTCTGCTCATAAAATGACGTCAACCTACTTTTATGTTTCTGGTAATATAGGATTCTGGATGCTAGATAAGAAATGGAAAAGTTGTTGATTCTTACTTTAACTCTCTTGGACTTTTTCTTTAAAGCAGAAGATTGTCTTGAAACCTAAAAGTTGGTCATAACTGTCTTAATTTAACAAAATATGCCACAATGGCACTTGCAGCTCCTTCTATTAAAACATCAAAGCAAGAAAAACTTCACTCTAGAACACTGGAACACATGCAGAACATTCACTGAGATTTTGAGTACAATTAGAAAGACCATAGTCAATAGAAAAAACTTTGGTCTGGAAGCCTTTGTTTGTGTTCTTTGATTGCAAATGAACTCTCGTCGACAGAAAACTTTGTCACATAATCAAAAGTATGCAAAACAAATGACATCATGGATGCACATGGATTTTTCACTGAAGATGCTCTCTGATTGGTATCTAGTTAGGTAACTGATTGTATTTTTGATACAGAATTTGACAATGGTAATGTTCAATTACATACACAACACTGCATTTGAAGACTTCACTCAACCATCACTTCATAACTATATTTTCTGACCTAAAAATGTGGAAGCTGTATGATCTCTTTCATTTATCTAACATAACAAAATACTGCAATGTAGGCTAAGAGCCTGTTACAGATTGTTAATCTAAATAACTGTTGTTGTTTTTTAGGCGATGCTCCTGAAAAACATTTATGTAGTCCAAAATAGAAACAGAAAACATTAAAATATACCTGAGCACTGTCTAAACTACTACTTCTACTAAGATGTCACATGCAGTTAATGCTGCATGCCACGTCTCACAATGTCATGCCAGTTCTTTCTATCTTGTGTCGATTCAGATAATCTATTCAATGTTTATGATTCTTTTGAGAAATCTAATTTAATTCCAATGCTGGCCAAACCTTGCCTTACTGTCTGCATCCAGATCATCATTGGTCTTCCTTATGGCCATTATACTTTCCTAAGATATTCTTTAAGGGTACATTCTAAAAACATTGACTAAACAAGCACTGGGTCAAATAAGAATTGTCTGTCTCCACAATAATTGTTCTGTTTCTGTTTGAATAAGTTCAATGATTTGGCATCTACTACATCTCTTGGAAGACGGTCCCATTCATGTGCAACCCTGTAGGCACGCTTCCTAACATTGGCGAGGAAGCGCATCATTGGTCTAGAAATTTGGCAACTACACTTTTATTTTTAAGCATGCTTTACACTGAGGCTTATCACCAGACCTAACTTGGGCAGCTCCTTTTGCCTAACTAAGAAACAATTTGAGGAGAAACAGATACCTTTGGTATTATGTCAACTGACATTGATGCAAACATTGCAATGCAATAATTTCATTGACATAATCAGAAAGATGACTTCCATGCTTACGCTAAGAGGATTTTCTAGCTTTTGAATGTTACTTAAAGTGCTCTGACTTTATGAAAACGTCAGTTCAACAGCTCAGTGAGTTGTGAAATGTGTAGGGACAATAAAGCAAAAACGCAAGAAAAAAGTAAAAACCTTTTTGGCAAGAGGCGATGGCTTTTGATCGGGCTGACTGGACTCAGAGCTTCTCCGTGATGATGGCATTCTCTTGAACGGGTTACTTGTATCTACAACTTCGTCGTCAAACTTCTTACGCTTTATTGATCGGGAGGAACTTCTTCGAAGGCCGTCTGGTCCAGGCAGCCTATTGAAAGAAAATGAAGCGTCTTCTGGGCTGCTTCCTGTCGGGTTTATGTCTGACATTGCCAATTCACAAATATGCTCTTCAGTCGATTCACTAAACGGCCAGTATTTATTTCACTGTGTCTTATTAATCCATGTAAAATTACAACATGCTCACACGGTAAAAAGTCAGTATGCGAGCGCGCTTGTCCGCCATTTGCTTTGCTCCTCCTTAGCATCAATAACAATAAGCTCAGCTCACTAGCCACCTGCGCGGTGCGGTGAAAGGGCTGCAACTCTACGTCAAAATTTGAAGAGGCCAAACACCATGTTATATATTATCCAAAAAGCAAATATTGCTTTCCTCATATTCAAGAGAACCTACTATTTTTATAAAAGAAATTGGCTAAGACTAAGAAACTCCAGTACTTGAAAATATGCAATTTGCAAAATTGAATTTTTGGGTGGAGGCTTATTCGAGGGGAGGGGGCTTATTTCAAAGTTTAGTATTTTCCTCAAAGGTTGACATAAGAACGACATAATTTTCTCAATGAATTCAATTGAAAAATTACAAAAAGGTTATTGTCCTGTGGGGGCTTTTTGGAAACAAGATTTTATTCTGCAATTATGCTTCCCTTGAATAAGCCCCCACAGGGCAAAAATGATTTTTTAGGTGGGGGCTTATTCGAGGGGGAGGGCATATTCAAGCGTGGGGGCTTATTCGAGGATTTTTGGTACATAACTCAAAACTTTCATGAATACCCATTAATTTTATTGCTAGGTTGGTTTGCACAAAGCACAAAAAAATTCAGAGGCATTTTTAAGGACAGAGCCCCTCTTCACAAGCTAGTTGTATATGTTTCACTCAAGTTCCTTACTTAGTTGGCAATGGAAGCTAACCTTATATTATGCCTTTGATTTCCCATGAATGAGCAATAAATTTTTATTTTATTAATAATTTTTATTAGTCTTAAAGAATCAGTGAAAAGCATGAATGACTTCATATACACAGCAGAGAATCTTTAACACATATACAAGTATATCAGGTGCGATCATGGTTGTGGTTATTGGTGTGGCTTCTAAAAGTTGTATACAGTCCATCCCCCCTCCCCACCCAACTTTTTGGGGTGGCACCCCTGCTAAGAAACACTGAATCTTCATGTCCACAAAGCCCTTAATATTATTTCTAAGATTACATCAACATTCAGAAAATAAGAGATTCCAGTTAAACCCATGTTTTAGAGCAACACTCACTGGTGTGGAGAACGGCATGACAACTACAAGAAACATGCAACTCACTCTAACCAATCTGTTTATGAATGCTTCTCTGGTTTATTTTTTCACGTGATCATAAGTACTTTTTAATTTAATCAGTAACTAACTTGCATGTTGCAGAATTTTCTTATGCATATCCTAATATTTTTGGCAAGCTATTACAAATTATAGTATGATTGAGACCTGTAATCAGGCGCAACTAAGTCTAAAGTCTTAACATTTTTCTTACCTATATACTGTAGAATAAACAGTATCTAGATACTGTAGAAATAACATTTTTCTTAGCTATTTTAAACACAATTAAAGACCAGATAAGAATTGTTCTTATGGGCCCTCCAACAATATACTTTTTAAGCAAATTTTGGCCAAAAAAGAGATTTGCGTCTCCTTGTAGAGTCAAGCAAGACACTATCAAAAGCATATTACTTTGAGCATTAACAAAAGTGCTGTTGACAATATGTTGATTATCTTGAAATATGTATATGCAAAAACTTGAAAAAGACAACTATAACTTCTCTTTTTCTTATTACATAAGAAATGAGACTCCAAACAACAAAGGAAGCAGAGTACTGAAAGTTAAAAATAAAAAAACAGTTGAGTTGACAATTGAGGATTTTGAGATTTTCTACCAATAGCTAAAACCTTACCCTGGTTGGCATAAAACTTTAGACATAAACAATAAAAATTCTTCAGAAAAGGCTCACCAATTTCTCACAACCAGCATTTAAAGTTTCTTAGGACTCCAAATAGTAAGAAAAACACTAAAATTAAGAAAATCTTAAAAAACAATAATTGCTGAAAAATTCATTTTGCATCAAGCAAAAAGTACCCAAAGTCAACTTCTTTGTTATAAGGAATTAGCGAATTCAAATGAAGAATGCAAAGTAGGCAATTTTTTTAATAATTATCATAATACAATTTTAATCAATAGTCACATAAATCTCCTGTTATTTAATGTAACAGCTAGGGTGCATTTCATGTCAACTGTGTGCCAAAGCTCCACTGGGGCATTTGTTTAGGTATGCCGAAAAAATGAGCAGTTAGTAAAACTGTAAACATTGTTGCATCAGAAAAAAAAGTGATTAATAGAGAAAACTGTGGTTTATGTCCCTTTGTATTATTTTATCATTTTATGTTAACTATGTTCACGGCTTCATGTTTAGCATGCCATTTCAGGTACACCAAAAGGTTTTAATTGGTTTGCACGCCATATGCCAAAAAAAACTTGGTTGTACACCAAAGATCTTTGGGCCTAAGTACATGTAATGCACCCTGGTGTAACAGGAAAGCAGAAATATACCAAAATGCATATACATTAATATTTACAGAACACTAAACATCAAAATCACTGCCTTACAAAATTTTTGCTAAAGCCTTGAATTAATTGAAGAAAATTAAACTATAGTTCTATTGAGTTAATTTTATTTCATCAACTTGTCAATAACTTAAATGAATTTACCAAAGACCAGCAACTATCCATTTTGTATCAGAACAAACTTAATGAGTATATATAAAAGAGGCAAAAGTTTGAGATCGAGGGGGAAATTAGTTTGATACCTTTCTTAAATCTGGTAACAAAACTGAATTTAAGGCAAGAGCCTCTAATAACTGTTCACAAGGGAATTTTAGAAGTCAAATGCAAAGAGACCTTAGGCATGGACAAATCATATCAAAATGAACTCCCCCTTGACTTATTGCAACCCTAATAAATCTAGCCTACTGTCACCCTGAACTTGCTATGGCTTTCCTAGGGGTATAAGGAAGGAAATCTTATCGCCTATTTCGCCCCACCCAGCTCTATTCATCTGGTACATGGCTACCCATGTAGCAATCGCAATCGTCCATACAACAGTTCCAATACCCGAGCCGATAACATATTTTCTAAGATCTTTCTGTAATTCAAATTCTTCTCTGAAAAATGCATCTTTCATGAACCATACTGTGTTGACGAGCCATAAAAATGGAAGCAATGCAAATCCGCCGTAGAAATACTTTCGGCAAACGCGTAGCTTTTCCTCATCTTTCGTTTTCCGCAAGTCCATCTTTGGTAAACCTTCCTTTGAGAAAACGGTAAAAAACAGCTAATAATAAAGATTTTCAGCAAAAAGTAACCTTCCAGCAGTTACCTTCACCTTTCAATGTCAAATGTTAACTTTCAGTGTGAGAATTCTTGCAACTCAGATAATCTGCAACAACTTTGAAAGCGGTGCCGAATGCGGGAAACACAACAAGACTTTGCTTGCAGTCAACCAGAGTTTAACTCCGTACTTTGATTTCTACCAAGTTATGAATGGCATTCTAGCCCAAAAATATAAGAACGAAAGAGTCTTGTTTCCAAACAAAATCTGTTTTGCTAAATTTATACTCTCGATTACCTGAAAAACAAATCCATTTATCATCAACAAACAGAAGCTAAGGACGCCATGATTCGTCGCCTTTCCGCTATCGTTTCAAGATTCGGCGACCAGGATGCATTGCGGGCAGGAGCCTCGTCTCGGTGAGATTTGAACAAAAAAGTTTTGAACCTTTTTTCTGTTTTTTATTCATAACAATGCAAGGGGCAGCCCCCCCCCCCCCCGTGCCCTTGACCAGAGGGGACAGAAGATGAGACAGAAAGTGCCTCTTTGGTCGCAGTATCGTAGAAACATAGGGTCCGACGAGTAGAGAATGCTTTATGCCCACCGTTCAAATACGTTTCCTACATTTAAAACATGTCGATCAGAGCTTCAGATACCATGACACTTTTACTTGACGAAAAATTTCTCACATCAAGGCTCAGTCGTCTACTTGAATAGGGCCTGGTTCAAGGTCGTATAAACATTAAGGTCGAAACCTTCATGAGGGAAACAAAACTTCACCCTTGGCCTAAATAACAAAATTTACTCTGGATGATTAACAGCATTATATTCCCCTCGCCCTTTTACTTCGAAGATTCGTCTATGACTAGACACTCTACGTGAAAATTACTTTAAAAAGAAAAAGAGTCAAAGCTGGAAAAGTGCTATCCAATTTTCAATAGTTTATAATTTGAGGTAATATGATGTTACATCAAGCCCAACTGTAGGGCATGGTAGCAAAACTTCCCGAAGGTGTACCCCCAAACCACCATTCTTCTCGCCTTGCTTCTCTCACCTACCACCTTCATGTGCATCGCTACAAAGTCTGCCACCTTTGAACTGTCATCCTTCCAGCATCCCTGGCCTAATTTCATCCGTTTTGCAAATGAACCCGAGTCTCAGAACCAATGAGCTTTCCACTGTTTGCCGATTTGAGTCCATAAAGCTAACGAATATTTCCAACTGGCATAGTCTTGCAAAATCGCTTCAGGTAAGGATTGAAAATGAAGACAAACACTTTTGAAAAGAAATGTCAAAATTACGTCTCTGATCATAGATGATCTGATGATAAAGAAAAGTCTAAATAGATATATGTTCGATGACCCCGCGAATGAAATTTCAATTTGCGAGCTTACAGATGTATGTAAATCTCATTGTAAGACGAAAGAAGAAAGTAACTGAAAGAAGAAACCATCTAAAAACTAATTACATAAAACCCGTGAACAGTTTTATCTTAAGTCAGCCTTTATCATGTGATCAGGATTTTCGTGAATCGCTGTGTTAAATTTTATTCAGAAAGACATCATTCAAAGACCACCTCCCAACCCTATTAAAAAACTCCAAGAAATAATTACATTCAAGCCTTTTGAACAACCTACATAATTATCACTTTGTTTCATACATCAGGTACAAATCTTCATGTACGTAATTTTTGCACATTTAATATGGTTACTGTAATTATTAAAAAAAATTGAATATTTGAATTTTGAGGGTAAATGAGCCATGGGATGTCACAAACCTCGAAAACTCCCGGGGCATCCTGGAAGTTCCCTTCTGACTCAATACAAACTTCATGAATGATCATATCTTAAAGCAGTGGCTAAATTATTGTCGAAATGAGGTATATAGTATATAATTAAGTTTCCATTTCATTCCCTTTTGTTGGTTAGAAAATTATTGAGATAAATGAAAACATTGTTGTTTGGTATTTTTGCGGGCTTCGGGGATAAAGAACACATACTATGGTCCGCAATATATGCTGTTCTCCGTTGAAAACGAAACCACAGAGTAGTGCATTAAACTTCAACTAATTCATGCGTCACGTGACGAGACAGAAACGTCTCTGTTGAACAGACCCAAGTCGATATTCGTTTTGACTTGAAACATTATGCAATTGTGGCTAGATGGGCAAGAGTATTGTTCAACCAACAGGCCTACCATGCGTTCCAACCCCAAAACTTAAGCTCTGCTGTGATAAGCCCAATTATAGAAATGACTGAGCCTCAGTTTGTCTTTGCAACAAAGGACGTTCTGATCAACAGTAAAACATAAGTTGCATTCTTGTTACAGGATAAAAAAGTTTCTCGTGAATTTGGTTGTTCCTCGCCAATTTGGAGGTTTAAAGTCTAGCAGGAATCTAGTAAAATGAAACACTAATGCTTTCGTTTTATCTTTGAAAATCACAAGATATACCTTATAAAAATAAAGTTGTATAGCATGCTTTAAAAACAATTACACACTGCATAACTTAGTTACAACAACAAGGAATATGGGAGCAATATAATTTTAATCCGTTAAATACCGTGAAATGTAACTACACAAGCTATTTATGACACGCAGACGTTGTTATAGAAACAAACTGTAGAAAATTCATAGCTTGAACTTGAAACCTGACTAGTTTTTAATTTGTAAACATAAATACATACAACTAGGTTCATCAAGTGGCGGCGCCAAGGGATTATGGAAAGAAATTACCCATTTCCCCCGAAATTGTGATCTATGTAGTTTTTTGAAAATTAATAGAAATTTATTGGGTAAGGAAAGATCATATTTTGCTCTAAATTTATTTGTGGAAAATAGTGCCATTCGACAGAAGTGATAATATAATATTACAAAAAGGGGAAGCTTCCGTAATGTGAATCAGATTTAGTTTTGAAAATCCTCAGGATACACACGCCAAGACTCCTATTACCAAGGAGCTCGTGTACTGGAGTTTCCAGCTTAATTCACTGAGTCTACTTTGATAACTGTCCTTCTCATCGTCTCTTCTAAGCAATAATTCATAAATGAGAGAATGAATTAAAATCTAAGTCTCCTTCTGCAATTAAAGTAATATATACTATTTTCACTGAAACCCAATTTTTCTGCAAAATTACCAAATGTACATTATATATGAAAACAACATAAAACACTGCGATTAAAAATTTTAAAGATGTACATCTTCAGTAAGAAGATATTTAAGAAAATAATTTATTGTGAATAAATCCATCTATCCAAACAGTGAAAAGATACTTCTTGCATTTGTATAAAACTGCACGCATACGGATAAAGATTTGCTAACTCATTGGGCTATTTCCATGCTACCCAGCATCTTGGTTATGAAAACCAGTTTTCCACGAGTACCAAAACCAATCTCCTATGTTTGGAAATTAGTGGCGATTCCAAGAGTAAGTCAAGAAAGCCACCAAAAGGTAGCAGCGAGAAATTTCTAGAATATCAAATTCAGTCCCGATCTTTTTCGTTTTGTATCTGAAAGTAGCAAGCCTGCAGTTGAAAAAATCAAAAGAGTTAAAGAACAATCGCAGCCTTAACAGTGGGATAGACATGTTTATTAATAGGACGATTCAATTGTAAAGAAACTTTTGCACTTTGCAGAGATAGTTCCAGGGCCTTGTTTAACATACTAACTAAGGGGGCAATTGCCCCTCCAGCCCCAATACATTTCCATTGTGTTAAACAGTGGGATATTCATTTAAACATTATAGACTTATTTATTACAAGGATAATTCAGTTGTAAAGAAACTTTTACACAGATAGTTTAACATAGAATTATAGTTGTAATATTTATCTGTCGACTGCAGTTAAGTTTCTATTCATTTCAACCAATTTATAGCGATTTATGTCTTTTTAGAAATGAAAAAGCAAACTACTAAGAACAAGATTTTCTGTTTACCTTCAAAGTTGTCACCATGTGTCCCATCTCGCCCACAAGATGCGAAGGATCCACCATGTCTTCAATAAACTGAACCTCTGATCCAAGATGTGGAACCCTGAAACGTTTACGATTTAGGTGATATCGGTTCATTATAAAGAAAAAGTGAATTATAAAGAAAATTACGTTATCACCAACAATACCCTGAATCTATTTCCGGGTAAAAGCGAGGAAAAAATATAATGAAAAAACATCTACCTTGCTCTCGTAACCACATATTGAAAAACTGGAAACAAATCATCCATTGCAACGATTTTCTTCTCGCCTTTCCAGAAATTATTCACCTCCTTTAAAACGAAAGACCAAAATTTCGTCATTTGCTTGGATGGCGACGTTCGTAAATGACTACATCCAGGTGCAGAGCAACAAAAACTGAAGATGGAATGGTTCCTTGTTTTTATATAATCAGCGACTGCTAACACTTCTTATGGCTCAAGAGACCAAGTGAGAAAACGAACCTTTCTCCGTATACAAATCAAGACTTTCAACTCTGACAAATTCTAAAACTTCTAAATTGTAAATGAACTTGCATTCGTGCTCATTAATTTTGAATATTTCGTCAATGCATGCTTCGGTATTAAATAGAATTTCGTGCGAAAGAATATTTTCTTAAATAACTAAACCTGCAGTAAAGAACAATTTCTTCGCCTTTCGACTTAATCGGAGATCCGATCTAACACGTAGTAGGTCTGTTTACACTTCTAGCATGATGTGAATTATGAAACATAAAGTTTATGAAATGGTTTAATTTTACGATAATCTTCAAACTATCAAGTCGAAAAAGAGAAGGTTCTTGGCTTGTATCTTTTAAGCTTTCTAAAATAACCTTAACAAAAGTTTCTAAAATAACCTTAGTAATGGTTTTCTTTGGAACACTATACCATTCCACAAACGATCTTGATTTTTACTACCTCCTTAGCGTGCTTTAATAAAAGATTTAAATTCTCGGACTGTATGAAGCTATCAAATAATCTTAAAACTTGATTCAAATGTATGGCATACCTCGTGAATTTTGGCAAAGCTCCTTCGGATGACCTCGATCTTTTCCATCGGACTGTACTTCGTAATGAGGTTATCCAATTCTGCTATTGATGTCTTGTAGGGTGGCTCATCGCCAATGATTGGCTATAGAAGAAAATAACCTTATTCAAGTCTAAAGTTCATTTCACGATAACTTGCTATACCTACGGCAATATATGTAAAGTGCACATTATAGATCTCAGTAGAGTGTGAAAAGTAGATCTCAGTTGCTAAGCTGATGCATGGCTGTTTGGTATCAAAATGCCATCTTTCTTATCAAATATAACTGCCTAAGCATTTGCTTCAAGAAGAGTCGCTGCAAGAAGAGTGGCCCTTAAAGATGAACGATTGTATAGGTGCAGCCTTTTAAGAGGTGCATTCTTCTACCTTTTTTAATTAACCTCCAGATTTCTAACCTACTCTCTACATATCTGCTAGCTTTTGTAAAACGAGTACTTAGCTAACTACAGGTAACTCTAGAGAAAATAATGTTATCACAGATAGCTAACAGTTACCCTCAAAGCATGAGAAGAGAAAGGTTATTTGCTCAAAAACCCCACCCACCTTGTGTGCGGTGAAACATAGCACAAAGCCCTACCACCTAACCCATAACCACCAATCAAATCCTTTCCTCCTGACTCAAGCCATTGCCGCTAGCCTATCCTACCCTCCTAACCCAATTCATTTCCCTTTTTATAAGGTACACCTATTTCATCCAAGAAAATATAATTACCTCTTTCGTTTCTTCTTCAAACTTGCACAATAAAAATTTCCTAAAAAAACAACAGTAATCTCATAACAAAAGTAAAAAACGTTTCACACATAATAACTTTGTAAACCATGACGGAGCCAGCATATGAAATGAAAAATTCAATTTTTGAATGCATGTGAAAGAGGGACATACAATAGAAAATACACGTGAAAGCCAGCATACCTGTTAACTCCAAGAAAGGACATCAAGGCGATGTCTCCCCTCTTATTCAATTGGTGGAGCCGCTCAGCATAGATTGCATCCCCTTTCTCGGTGTGCAGAGCATACAGCGTGAAAAGGGGTGGGTACAAACGGGGGAGTATCAGCGGATGCAGCAAATTTGTGCTGTTTATTAGTGGGTCATCAACACCATCTACTTTGTCATGTGTCAGCACGACGAACTCTTCGTCAGGTAGACTTGGGAACATTATCCTAAAAACGAACTCCTGGATTATTGGCTTTTCTTCACAAGCGCAAGATGAGAAATGTTATCATCATCATCATAGTCAAAGTCACAATCAACACAATAAAGTAAAATTATGTAATTGCAGTCGAGTTCTTAATGGAAATTGTTGAAAAATTAAAGACCTTCTAAATGTTAACTTAAAGATAAATTACAATATATTACAAGCCACAATGGAATGATGAGTCATGGTCGAATTTACTTGTTCTCCCGATATCCAAAAAAGATCTCTGACTATGGAAATTTGAAATGAAATGAAAATCTTTCTCTCATAGCCCCGGTGTAGTCACAACTTTTTGCTCCTCGGGATATATTTTCCTGCTTAGCTGTATGGTAGTTTTGTTGATAATGTAGCTTGTAGTGTGTATTGTAATTAAATAAAATAGACAAAAAGATCTCTGAATCTCTGATAAATGTTGCAAAACTTTATATAACTTAAAGCCATGAATCCACAAGCTCTTAATCTTCCTCAATCTACACAAAATTTGGCTGTTCTCGGAATTACTGAAGGCACAGCCTCACAACACCGCAGTAGTTACACCCTCAGACAGTGGTTCACTCTTAGTATTGTAAAAAAAATCTGCTTTAAGAATCCATGTGTATCGATACATCATATTTTTCTCCGATTGTTTCTTCAAGAAATTGGGAGCAATAACTATTATCTGTTCTAAAAATTTGCCACAGAAAATATTCAATTACTTTATACATTTGTAGAATAAAATTGTTACAACGTAAATAAAGTATAATCATTTCTACGCCATCCAGTAGAAGTATGTCTTATCTAGACTTGAACGCAGAACCAAACTTACAAGGAATTTTGAAAAAGTGAAGAAAGATACCTAATGATGGTGTAAAGCCTTGAGATGTATGACTTGGCTTCTTCAACAGCATGTAACAACAATCTTCTATGCGCTCCGACGCCTACATACGTCGCCCGGTACACCTCAACCAGTCCTTCGACTAATGTTGATAGTGGATGACCGAAGGTATTCATGGCCTATAAGACAACAATAAACTGTTAAATGTTAAAAATAAAAAGCTACCAGAATAATCCGTTGCTTGTGTAGTCAGAGGCGAAAGGGATTGCTCTAGAGTCTTGCTAGCTTCGGGCTGCTTAGAGAAGATTTATAATCCCTAGGTTAATGAAGACTGTTTCCAGATGCTTCATACACTTGGCATCATCTAATGCCACATATTCACAGCTATTTGATGCAATCAGAAAACAAGCACGGGTAATACCAACAATCAATATTCAAAACAAAGAATTTTACAATGCGAGTTTATTCAAATACTAGTATGTATTTAAACAGAAAAACACTCTTTCAAAAATAAATGTCATTTAGCAATAGGTCCAAAATATCGTTCAAAAAATCTAATCGTAATGAAGCCACTACTTCACTTTCCTTTCCAAGCAATACACCAATTCGACTTACGACCTTGTTTTATAAATTTCTCCAAAATTAATTATACGACTTTTTTAAGCTCAGATATGGTTTTGTCGCAATAATTTTAGGACGAATACAGTTTTCATATTGTTCGAGCATATATTTTAGATTCAACGGAGAAATGAAGTTTGAAAACTTGCAAGGGATTTGACCGCAAAAATCGTTTCGGAGGGTAACTTTACCCCCCTAGTTGCCAATCACGGTCAAATCCCTTATAAAATTCTCATCTTTATGTCGTTATAAAATCAATTTCGTGAGCAATACCATAATGAAAACTTCCAAGTAGATTAAAATCATTGCTCTCAATCCGAGTCTGAGGTCAAAAATGTTGTACAAACGATTTTGAAGAATTTTTCAAAATGATTTCAAAAAGTCGAATTGGTGTATAACAAGGAAACACCATTTAGAACGTTCAACCGAGATGATTTTGTGTAAAACTGATTCTCAAAGTGTTTCAAGGATTTTCTACGGGTTTTTCAAACATCAAATCAAATGAATAATCAATATGAATCAGAGAATACGATATCAAAATTGTCAGCAAACCGTTGTTAGCAAGGTTTGTATCTCTTTGATATCAATAAGATGCTTCAGCTTCTTCTTGTCCGTGACACAGAAAACTTCACTCTCCAAGGCCTGTCTTCGAATGGACCTCCTCCTGATGTCTGAAGCCCTCGTTTTAAGGATAGACTTTTCAACATTTTTCCAAACATTCTCGATACTCGGCGAGTGCCCCGGCAGTAATTCGTTTGACCTCACGAGCTCCTCTCTGCATTCTTCAAACAAGGATTTCCACTTGATACCAGCCGGAATGGTAAAATCAGTAACCCTTAAGAAATATTGTAACGGTATAAAGTTATGAAGGGCTAAGGGTGATAGCTGTTGAGAAATAAACATTCTTGCGATTTAGAAGAACTTCAAGAAAATTTCTCAACACGCTTCAATCTTGGTATGAATTAGCAATCCAACATATATTTGATAGAATATTCGTTCACCATTCATTGACAGAATATTCGACAGACAGACAGACAGACAGACAGACAGACAGACAGACAGACAGACAGACAGACACACAGACAGACAGACAGACAGACAGACAGACAGACAGACAGACAGACAGACAGACAGACAGACAGACAGACAGACAGACAGACAGACAGACAGACAGACAGACAGACAGACAGACAGACAGACAGAAAGACAGACAGACAGACAGACAGACAGAATGTTGATAGAATATTCGTTCACCAAAATTTGCCCTTCTTGGCTGCCGGCTTTATTGTCATATAGACGAGGGTGTATTGTGATAACTATACAAGCCCACATGCATTTGAGTACTACAATACTACTGTCTCTCTTCAGAACAAACTACTATCCTATTCTTCATACTAGCAACATACTATCTTGATGCAACTTCACACCAAACCATCACCTAGCCAGTTTATTCAACCAGCTATCAACCACCTCAGCCCTAAGCCTGTCTTACAAAACTACTCTACTGTAATTTACAGATTTACTTACGTCATCTGACTGGATCCCATCTCTCCGATTGGTGAAAGAATGGGGTCCGGATTAGCGAATTTATTGAAAACACCATTGACTTTTATTCCTCCTCCCCAATTTCCATGAAATTGTCCTTCGATGTAGTCACCATTAGGTAACGTCAGTACACCCTTGAGAGGAAAGCAAAATATATTAGGATCTTATGCGATCGGGGTATTAAGGAGAAAATGTTACAGCATAATAAACTATCTGTTGAAGAAGGGGCAGAACAGATTAATAAAATTTGTAGGCCTCCAAATTGAAACATAGCCTGCAATCGAAATTGCAGGGACAAACAGTCATTTCATGAATTCATCATCTCTTTTAGTACATATAGCTTTGCCTCAAAAAAGCAAAATTCTAATACAGTGAGGTCGAATTTTTTTTCAAAAATGGTCACGTCGATGTCCGTTTTCACTTTGGGTGGTTTAATTCAATGACCATAAAAAACAACTTCCATCAAAATTCGTGTTACGCTAACATTTACCTTTCCACTCATCTGCATGTCAGCCGTGAACTCTCCCTCGTAGCAAGTGTCATCATCGCTCAAGAGAATGCCACGTCCCTGAAATAAAAACAATATTTTCAAAACCTTGAAAACCTCTTCTCAATACCGTTATTAAAGAACTTCTAGAGGTTCCCACTTATTTCATAACAGCAATCTTTGCAAAGACTAGAGCAGAACTAAAGAGGTTTTTGTCAAAATTGGAAGAATTGATTCATTAGGAAGATTGACGAAACGGCCTTCGAAATTCACAAATCACAAATTATCATCTGCTTAAGCCTATATACGATATTGCATTTATTCAAGAAATCATTGGATGGTCTTAGTGTCCTTCGATCATTAAAAGGGACTACAGCGAACTGGCAATAGCAACGTGACTGGCGTCTTGGGCTAGATGTATAATTGCTCCAATTCACTGGACGCAGTTAAAAAAACAAAAATGTGAGATGCAACTGGCAAAGGCATGATGTGGCTACCTCCGTAGGCAAACATCTCATTCAAAGGACAATTTTGACTAGAAAGAAAATGCATTGCGAAGAAACGTTCGTGTTAACAGCGACTGCTACTGAATATCGCTATTATCACCTCTTGTTTCCTAACACAATCAGTAGTAGCAACTTACTGCTAGTTTGTTTTGCACAAACCTCCCTTCATAGTAGACGCCGTCAACGGTGACAACAATACCATAACCATGCCTCTGATCGCCGAGCCACATACCAATGTATTTCTCGCCCCTAGCAAGGTAGCAATTGCCGAGTAAGGACATAGAAATTACATAAAAAAGTAGACAGAGTTGCAAGTAAGATTGAAAGAGGTGCTCTAACAGAAGGTGACATTAACACCCCCAACCTTACTAGAATCTAAAACCCATTTAATATATACAGAAGTCCTCTCACTGTGGTGAAAATGGTCTTAAAGCCGCACGGAGGCATCTCTTAGAAAGGCCAGCAAACAAATGGGTGGATCAATTAAAAGGCCCTATAGGTCTGCAGGTCTTTATAAAAAAGCCCATAAGACAACAACAAAAATAAATTTTGATGAGCCTCTGGCTCAGATAAACATGCAATAAAAGACTAAGCAAGTACAGTGCATCGAAGTTTTATTCAAAACGCTCACAAATAGAAAATAAGCATGAAAACAAGTAAACAAAAGTGAATTATTTTAAAACCTGACGACGAAATCCTGCACTCCATAGCCATGTTTCTGGTCATTTTGCCAGTTGCCAACGTATACAGTTTCAAGCGTACCGTCGCCTCCGAAAAAGGTCCTGGTAGTGCCATGTCCATTGCGACAGTCGTTTTCCCAATGTCCCACGTATTCAGAGCCATCGTGGTACTTCATTTGGCCATACCCTTGCATCTTACCCTCCATCCAGTCCCCTTCGTATCTTTGCTTTGATTCACTAGGGGTCACTGGGAACACCATAACACCATAACTAAAAAAAGTTAAATAGCGAGTTGGAAATAGACATAACAAAAATTACCCAGAACCAAACGACAAGCAGAGAATAAAACTTTTACTGCTATGTAACCCGACTTTTTGCAGTTCAATTTTTATTAAACTATGTTAAGACATCAAAATTTTCATAATACCAACCTCTTTTCTGCCTCGGCCATAATCATTCCCTGCTATAGCCTTGTATTCAGAATCCAAACGACAAATTCTACAAGTAACTGATTGCGTGAAAACTCACCCTTGAAAATTTCCGTTCTCAAATTCTCCTTCATAAGTAAGATTATCAGGCCACACCATTTTCCCTCTGAAATAAGAAGACAGTGCACATAATACAGATTCCAGTTTCCGCTTCAAAATTTAAAAACCTACATGAAAAATTGAGGCACGCGAAGAGCTTTAAAAATTCCAGCTGGATCATTTCATTATATCCATTATTATCATTATCATTTCCAACAAAGTTATAAACGAAGTGCTTCTAGACGATTTTCTTGCTTCTCTCGGTGATAACTTATGCAGGGTTTATATAAGATACTATTACAAAACATGATATAACAACTGCTTGCTCTTCATCATACCTTCCATGAGGCATTCCATGCAACCACATCCCAGAATACCTTGCGCTTTTGTACTTGACATGGTTGATGTATGTATACGAGGCTTCTCTTGCGTCGGCAGCACGCAGTAGGCCAGAAATTGAATTTACTGACTGAGTTGTGATTCTGAACAGAAAATAAAGAAAAGTACATGCTTTAAATCCTGACACTTATTTAAATTTAACATAAGATAAATCATAAAAATACCAAAATTGTAAATAAAATCCTACATTCCATACAATTCTTGTTTGTACAACAGTTGAAATGGAATCACAGACCGATGCTTATAGCAAAGCCATTTTGTTGTCGCCTTATTTTCCTATTACGAATAGTTCAACCGATATATCTTCTTAATTTGCGAGAATTTCTAACTGAATTCCTTAAATGATTGTTATATAGTCATATAGTCCGTAGAATCAACCTATTTTTTAGTTAAAACATATTAAAGCCCAGTTGGAATATGGCAAGAGGGCCCTAGCAATTGACGAATGTTTAGCTGAGATTAAAAGAAAAAAGATGTCGTTAATATTAGATTTGAATGGGAATAGATTGTAGGAAGGTGAGATTTAAAGAAGTGCAGTGGCACTAAATGCCAAATATAGTAAAAGCAGAGGGTGAAGGAAGATTTCTTTGAAAATTTTCTAAAGCTGTGATTGACCAAAACATGTGTTTTTTCATCTGCTGGATATAAATGAAGAGTAAAACAAGGTCTTACCGATGTAAAGACGCCACAGAGAGACACTGTGCTATGGCTTCGTTTATTTCTTTGACCCATTCAGTCTGAGAAAAAGAAATAAATGTCACACAAAACAACACAAGATGATTGTATAAAACGTGGGAAATTCAAAGCAAGAGCATTTGTTTATTGAAGCCAGTTCCAAATGCTTTTGTCGACTTAACACTTCACATTAATCGAACAACCAAACTCTACATGAAGATTTCCTAAATACAGAAAAAAATATTTCATTAAAACAACTGACAATGTTGACCAAACTCTTTTGTGGCTATCAATCGAAATGGGTGATTATTCTAGAAGAGGTGAAATTATATAATATAAATAAATCTTGATGGCCTCCTTTTTAGATTTTTCTTTCAGTGTTAATTATCTTAAGCAAAACGTCAAACTTTATTGTGCTTACTAAATTTCCAAATTTTGATCATAACTTTTAAAAAAATCGTTAAAGAAATGATTTTTCCGCAGAATTTCATGTTGGATTAACATATTTTTCCATATTCAATTCATGATTCCTTGAAACTAATACTATAAATAATAAAAATTATGCTCAATGGTTTTTAAATTTTTCTGTGTTTTATTTTTCTTTGTTATTTATCTAAAACTGCTATTTTGTTCTGTGCATATAACATAAAAGATTTGAATCGATCAAGGAAATAAAAATACAAAATTAACACAATTTGATCAAAATTCTTGGACAACACTTTCCACGCCTGTGAAAAATGCAGGTTAAAGACGATTATGGATGAAAGTAAAACCTCAATGCATACCCGCCCAGCTGGTGAATCAGCGACTAATACTGAAGAAACTTCAGGTGCAGTGATTCTTAGAGCATTCCTTGAAAAGTAAAAGATCAGTAATCTTATAAATCTATAAATAATTCTACAGTAATCTAAGATTAATCTTACTGTAATCTACATCATGTAATCAAGTAATCTCACAATAACATTACAGTAATCTTACATTATTTCAGAAACCTTTTCGAAGTGTTTCGTGCCAAGGGACGAAAAATAAGGCAAAACGGATGGAGGATAGGTCATATCAGGACTATTTTTAAGATTTTGTTTTCATCAGTGCTTGTGGCTACAGTATTAAGCTTTGTATTGGATTTGTTGGAATATGTTGCTTTTTAAGTGGCAACTGTTTTGTTGTCATTAAATGGTTAAAATCTTTGGAAGCCATATTGTACTTTTCTTCGAATTTTGTCGCTGGAAGTCCGCGATTCTATGAGTATTCAGTTTTGAGATCTTAAGATTGAACATCATCTCAAGGCTTACATAAAGATTGAAATTCCTTGTACCAGTCAGAACTCAATTACTACAGATTTCTGTATGAAATTCACAGGACGTCAGAAAGAGAATTACTCCATATGAAACTGTTTTAACAAAAGACTGATTTAAATTAACGATTCTGAGATACTGTCACTCACCTCTGCTGGTCTGAATCTAGAAAAGGCTCAACCCACATGGTGACCAGCGGAAAAACTTGAAAATGTCTGCTCGATTGACAATGCACAAAAACGTCATTAAAAAGCATAAACGAATGACTTGCAAGCCTCGATGCTCTTGCGAGAGACAGGGGCGCGTTCTTGCTCGTTCTCAAGATTCGTCGGTGAGGGTCTTTGAGTGCTTCCTGCAAGATAAACAAATTTGCAAGAAATGAACTATACGGAGGTTTTACTTCGGGTTTCCTTGGCAGATATCTATTTTAATCACAGATTAGTTTAGTCACTGATTAGTTCAATAATATGATAAGCAAAAACCACAATCAGACAGATGAATCCTATAGTACTTTAATGTATATGGAAATATATTAGTCATAAAAGAAAACGAAGTTGGCTGATGGCAAGTATCGATCAGAATAGAGTTTAAAAGGGAAAAGAAGAATGATATAGCAGTCAAATTGTATTCAGGTACTGATTGATTTTCTTATATAAATGAAAACGTATTTGACAGAACCGACAACAGGAACACCAAGTATACACCCTGGCTTGAAATCTCAACCAACATAGATAAAAGAATTCGAGATAAACAAAATAAAAAAGCCTTCGTTGACTCCTACGACTATTTTCAACTTGGCAAATTTGTGAAATGAAGGTTTTGAATGTAGAGACATTCAAACAGAATAATAAAGCATCACAACTTATGGATTCCCTGCAGATACTAGTAGAAATTGGCATGAACCACGAAAATCTACTATCGTCACTGTTGCAACGTTGAATATTATCATGCTTTAATGTTGCAAATTGCAGAAGTGGCATGGCAGTAACTTTAAAAAGCATCAATGGTGATATGTTTACCGAAGATGGTGAAAAGATTAACCTCGCAAATAGGCTCTTGTTTGAAGCGATTGACAAGGAACTCCAAACCATCTCAATGAAAAAGACCCAAAAAATGTTCAAAATAAGCAATGTGTCGTTACCAGTAGAAATAGAAATACCTATATAATAACAGAAGCGATGGAGAATACCTTAGGTGACAAATTCAATGATGCTCAACTTCAAATCATACACCTACCACTAATTTTGCAGGACATTCTTCCCAGAATTCTCTTGTTTTCTCAGCCTCGCGTAGTCGTGTTGAAGTCAGATCTGAAAAATCTTGCCACCGTTGACTGACTTCTTTCAGCTGTGATGTTTCCTCGGCTTTCGCATCTCCATAGCCCTAAATAGATTAACCGCCGTTTCTTATTGAATTAGGGGACTTACATGGCTGTCTTAAAGTCAATACTAGCTGAAAAACCTTGCAACTGTAGGTAGTAGAGGGTTAGAAGGGGAGCTCTCTAGAGCTGTTCGTTGTTTAAAAGCACCGAACATACTTTTGTTGAATGAATGTTTTTTGTTGAATGAATTATTTGACAGTTCATTTGTTCGGCGACCTGTACTTCTCTCTTTTTACACAGACGCTTTAATTAAGAAATGAATACCTTCATTATTTTGGTCAACTTTTCAACGCATCGTAAATAGAAACTGGCTCTCTTCAACGGAATCTTCATCAAAGCAGCCAAATCAGGTTGCTCCTAAAAAAGTACACAGAAACACAGGTTTTTAAAAAGAACATTCAACTACGTCTCGTTTATACATTAAACCTGAGATGATAGCATTGAACAGGATAAAGGGATAAAACGTAGGATTACTGTTGCAATAAATCGTGAAATTCAGTCTTTCTGTTCATAATGTGAGATTTCATAGAAAACGACAAGGCCTGAAATTTTAGCGTGCAATGACTAGAAAATTGGAGAAAGCGAAAAGATCTTAATTGCGAGAAAAAAGTTTGCAAAGCTATGCGATGCTTCTTTAGGAGTAAAGTATAAAAAATGCTTTACTAACCATGGCAATGCTGTGAAATATTTCCTTTACTGGCTCTTTGACTTTCGATACAATGTTACTGGAAAAAAGACAGAACATTGGCTTGTAAAAACAAGAGAAATAGCTGACATAGATAAAAAAATTTGAAGAGGTTCAGCGCAGACGTTGCACAAAGTTTCATCAAATGTGCCTGTTTGCAAAATGTGTTTCGTCTAGATTCGTATAACGAAAAACGATATTGGCGCTAACACTGATGAACCCACAACAGCTATTTTAGGGACTGAGGCATTTTGGGACCAAAAACATCTGTGAGGCTTTTGTTCTTTACCATTTTAATGTATTTTCGTAAGTGCAGGACCCCTTCTGGCTGACATAAGCAGGGGCCTTGGGGCCGTATACCCAGCATAATGCCAATAACCGCAGTCATGAGATGTACATTTTATAATTTGGCTCATCCTATTTCAGCAAACAACTTTACAAATGAATTAGAGCAGATGAACCACTTAACTTGACTTTTTCTTTAACATTAACATTAACATTGAATAACGAAATAACCTATAAAAGCAGACACGTAACATTTCACAAAAAATGGAAGAATACAGAATATATCTAAAAATACCTGGCGGCCTTTGACAGTGAATGGAGATGTCCCACCGCTAAAGAGTCACAGTAGCACTTGGAGTACCTGCATAGGGATAAAGATTTAGAAGCATTTTCAGTTACTTTTTGGGCTGGTGTTTCTCCTCTCTGTTAACTGCAAGTAGGGCTTGCTAGAAAGGCTCAATCTTGGGTGCCAAGAAGAAGCAGCTGGGGTGAAAACCCTATCACTTTGAGTCTGAAAAGGGGAACGAAAATTTTGATGCCTGTACAGGGAAACAGGTATCTAGTGGCAAGAGCTGGCACTCGATGCTCTAGGGGTATAAGCCAGGCACCAAAGTCCTGATTTTTTTAATTTTCAATCTCAACAAACAATATGGCGTCTAATAAATAAGAGAGTACTGACAAACCACAATAAGAAACACCACAATTTGATATGACCAAAATCAAAAATGCTTGTCACGTATATTTAATTTCAATTCCGTAAAGATTAGCCGAACTTACCATTGGATTCTTCAAAACAAAAACCAAGACAAAATTCAGAAAATGAACATTACAATTACAATCATGTTGTTATCATGAACGACTTGTCAAAAGTTATAAAAAATTGTCAATAACGAAATGGATTATCATATACACACTTAATGATAACAAAGTAAAGAGCAAATAATGGCGTGAAAGCATAAGGAAATTAAGTTTGCGGAAACAAATTTGTGTAGATTTCGTGTTTTTGGATGAACCCATAAGCATGATTTTGCGAAAAACCAATTATAGGTCAATCTGCAAAAATGGACTACAGCTTCGTTTGAGCTTATCAAATTAATGATTTCAATTTATAAAATTTCCTTTAATCTTTAAGAATTTTTAAAGACTTGCGTGGCAAATATGGCTAAGTAAGCCAAATACTTTAAATCTTTGAAATTTCTCTAATTAGACGTTCTTCTGGCTTAAATATTAATTATCACAAAACACCTAGACCTATCATCATTGAAACGAATTATTAACTGGCGAAAAATAATTTCCACCAAAAATCGATTCTCTTTTGGAAAATAATTGTTCTAAGTGCAATGAAGTGATGTAATGTGGTGTGTTTAAGAACGTCATGTGACGAGCACTGCATTCGGAAAACTAGGATGAACACTAGCTAGGCTTGTTTCAAGCTTTGAGATGTACTGTTGCTACAAGGACGCTACGGGGCCGGCGAAACGTGTTTGAAAGGGGGGGGGGGCAAAGTATCAAAGTTGTGTAAGGGTTGAAGAAAGGCCGCCCCATGGTTGGCTACAAGAAAAATTTTAGGAGTATGATATCTTAGGATGACAAGGAACTGTATCTAAAATGGATTTTGGCTGGAAGAAAATCTGAGGCAATATTTTCAAGCTTTCTTTTATCAATATGTCCCGTAGTTTCGTCTATTTGAGTCTGGTACCCAGGGTACGTCTATTGTAATGTTGACATAAAATGGGAAAGGGCTTGAAGATTTTAAAATAACCTTTTCATTGTAGCTCATAATGGAACTTTTCTTAGATTTTAAAAATAACCAAAATAAGATGGAGGAGGAAAATAAATGAAACACAGTTTAATAAAAAAACATTAACACTAAAAGTCAGCAAAAGAATTTTAAGCTAAAAATAAACGATTAACCAATTTTGTAGAGTTGGTATATTGACCTGTAAAATCTTATCTTAAATTTTTCACGTAATTAAGTGCTCTCAACAAAAAAAGCTCTTGTTATGAAAACTTCGAACTGTGCTGGTCAAAATTAGTTTTAATAGAATTTACAATTATGTCCTATTTTTGTAGTAGGAATGGATTATTGATAGAATCATACATTTAAGCTTTCTTGATGATACTTTTAAAGAACAAATATGTCGATTCTTTATTTCTCATATCCTCAATAAATTTCTTTCTGGCAGTTTCTTTTTTATCAACAACTGATTTCTCTCTTTTAGCAAAGTTTTTGGGAAATTTTCCGTTAACAAATAGCTTGCTACTTATGGCAAGTTATTTGCAACATTATAAAAAAGACCAACCATGACCAACAAAATGAATGAATTGCGGGTTGAAATTTGGTCAAACTTCCCAATAAACGCTAAGGTCCCCGCTGCATGACCAACTTTCTTGGAGTTTTGCAGACACTGGAAGGGTGTTACGCCCACCTCCCCCCCCCACCCCCCACGCCCCCAGTCGGCACATCCCTGGGTTGATTGATATTAGAGTGTTTTGTAGAAACAACATTTGTCACCGCAAACCGGTACCATCTGATAAAAATAGGGAAATATTTTGAGGGATCTGATGGTCCTCTCTCTTTTTTCGCGAAATATTTAGCTTCTGAATTCTATTCTGATTTCTGTGATTTACAAAATGATTTTAACTGCTTAAAATTATCAGTATATGAACAGAGATTTCATTATTATACTAAAAATCAATCGTGATAATAAAAAGAACAGATAAACAACAAAAACAGTAACAGTATAATAATCAGTAACAAGTATGTAAAATATATAATTGTACTAATAAACAATCGATGCTGAACAAAAGAGTAACAGACAAAAATCACGTCCCCGGGTGGGCTCGAACCACCAACCTTTCGGTTAACAGCCGAACGCGCTAACCGATTGCGCCACGGAGACGTTGCACAGTGAGAAGTAAAATGTCTTGTCACTTAAACAAAAATGTTAACTTCTTACCTGTCGTAACCTGCTCGAAAGCTGTCGGAAAAGAAGAATGAAAAGAGATCTTTGACTCCCAGCCCTGCTTTTATTATATCTGTCAGTTGAGATAAGGCGACTCCAATAGCCAGCAATACATCTGTGAAACAGTCTATCAAGGGAAAGAGCGCCTCGCCCCCTGGTTGTTTGGAAACTGACACCCATGTTTCTAGAAAGGAAGAAATAATGAAAATCAGAAAATTCAATATTAACATAATTTAGCAGCATTGCTACAATTTACTGGGATACACATCCTGATGATAGTTAGACCAAAAATATATGGGATTGTCACAGAACCAGGGCATTAAAAGCAGTTTTCAGGCAGCTCATAATTTTTGTATTAAATGTTAATTAACATCACAGATCGGAAAAATTCCCTTCATCTAGAAATTAAAGGGAGATATCCCAGAGTCAAAAGAAGGGTGGGTCACAAGACAATATGTGAAATTGCCAAGCTCAGATCAGTGTACATAATTTGAAATCTCAAAAATGCAAGCAGAACGTCCCAAGAATTAAACTAAAGCAACATTTAGTACAAATATAATATATGGTGCTGAGAGAACATTCAAGGGGTTTGAGCCGTCTACATGAGGTTAAAATAAGCGAAATGGAGAAGGTTTTGCGTAATCAACTCAGCAACATATTGATTTGACTTCACCAAAAAATCTCTATAAACACTGCAAATCGAGAAAAATCAGCCTCCGAATATTGTCGATCCAAAAAAGGTTGACTTCGCAACATTGAGACCAGAACACATATAAGTGGAAAATTTGTTTGGTATCAAGATGTTGGGAAAGGATACTCACGCACTTTTTTCACAATAAATTGAAAACAGATTAAGGAACGTTATACTCAGCGATGCCGGACAACGGGGGGCAAAGGGGGCAGAGGGGGCAGAGGGGACAGAGGGGGGCAGCTGCCACCAAATTCACTCTGGAGAATAAACAATATTCTGCTCCCTTCTCTTTTCTCATTTCAAAGATTCGTCTACAACTAGGCATCCTAGTTGCAAAATCCTTTCAAAAGAAAAGAGTCAAAGCAGAGAAAGGTCCTATACAATTTTCCATAGTTTCCGAAGTTAAGTGAAACAAAATAAAATTTGATGTTGTTTTAAGCCAAACTGTAGGGTGTAGTGAAAAAATCCCAGGGGAGTACCAGCGGAACCCTTTCTTTATACTTGGCTTACTTCCCTTAATCACATCTTTATGCCTCTGGTAAACATCTGCCCCCTGTGCCCCGTCATACTTCTGGCATCCCTGGTTATACTGTGATGAAAGGCAATAATCATTTCATAACATAGTTAACAATATAAAAGTAGGACCTGTTTTCTGCAGTGGATCGATCAGGTGTTCTTGGATAAGACAAAGTTGGTAATGATAATACCGCTCCGAGCTTGCTAATTTATACATTACTTTGAAAATTTGGTCAGCGTCACTAAAAAAGAAGAAATGACTTTCTTGTCATCCAAATTATATCATCAAAACTTTTGATGTCCTTAAGAATGGAAGCTAAACATGCTCAGCTAGTGTCCCCAATCAAGTTATTTTCTAATGGGAATGCTACAGCTTTTATGGGCGTTTGCACTTCCTCTAGATTGTGCAATACCAATTCGTAGGAATTATACATATATCACATTGTTCCTTTGCCATGCCATAAATAAAAATACTATTGTTCAACGAAATTTAAATGATAAACCACTTACATTATTAAAACGCGAGGAAATCCCAAAAACGAATCAAGAAGAATATAATAGTCCACTAAGATTGATTTAAAGGCATCTTTTCCAGCACCAGTCAAAGAGATAAAAACTCTTTCTCAATCTTACCCAACTCACGCCAAACCAAGCTCAAATTTGTAGGCTTTCTATCAAAATATGTAAAAACTTAATGCGAAACGTAAATCTGACATCTACAGCAAGAGAATGATTATATTCCGGGAGACTTTGTGAAGACAAAATAAGAAGTGGACCACGACTATGGACAAATATTTTAGAGTTCAAACAGGCAATGTCAATTTCAGTAAACAAGAAAAGCAAACAAAAATGCTAAATAATGAAATACCTTGCAGTAATGCATAAAAAATGACCGTCCGATCCTTCGACTGTTCGCAACATTGCATTCTGTAAAGAACCAAAAAATTATTTCACAACTTTCAAGCAAAAGTTCAATTATCGATAAACACTAAAAAGGTCCAAATCTGCTTTATCGTCCAGAAAATGATGGAAAAACTACTGCTTTCAATGTTCGGTTTTCAAGCAAGTACCTCCCTATGAAAATTACATATTTTGCTAAAATTGCTAAAAGTATCCAAATTAAAAAGAAATATTCAAAAAATTCGGGCAGTAAAATATAAAAGGTTTTCATGGAAAATGAAAAAGTATAAAAAGACATTTGGAAAACCGCAGTAACAAGAAGGAAATTACAAGTGGGATATGCATTTATTTTATAGGCAACAGACTGACATCGAAAATTAAAAATTAAGCTCATCAAGCTACTAACCATTTCAAAATGCTTCACTTTTCTTATTTCTGTGTCTATATACCACTCTGATGTCATCGAATCTCCCAAAGAATCCTTTTTCGATTTATGTAAAGTTCTTCTTATTTTCTTAAAGCTTTTCCGTTTGTTTATAGATACTCCCGTTGTACTACACGATGTCGAAAATTCACCCTCAAGGTCTCTAGCAAGAAAATATCATACAAGCTAGTAGGCTGTTGGTAAAAAGCCAGAATTTTGGCAAATTGACAAAATTCAGGAACATCAAAAATTTTACAAAGAATTGCAATATTCAGTTTCACACACAGTGAAATTTTCTGTGTGTTATTAGAAATTTATTATAAACTTGATGCCAGTTTCCGCACACAAGAATTTCTGCCAACCTTACTCTACTGACCAGAGCAATCCTTTGACACTCTTTTTCACTCCAAAAATCTATGGGGCCAATACTCTCTCATAATTGAGCAATAGCAAAGTTAACGAGTTTCTTTTATAGAATAAAAATGTTACACAAAATAAAATATCTCTTCTCTAAAAAGAATTCGAATATCAACGGTTGTCGAAAGCCTTACTTCATGCTCTCCCCAAGCTGGTACATTCCACAGACGCTACTAGAAACATCAGCAAGAAAAACTGAAAAACTATCGCCACCAGCGATGTCCCAAACCCGCAAGTCTTTGAGAGCCTGTTTGATATAAATACAAATAAACAGCTTTAATGTCAATGCTTAAAGTGTCTTTCAGGAATAGATAATATATGGGTAATGAAGGGAATATCACTTCAGGGGGATTAAAACCAGGAGATCGTAGAGATTAAAGGGGCCTCGGATAACGGATCAAGGAGAATGAAGAATTGAAAATCCCAACGTCAAAGCTTTATAACTTTTCTGTTTTAGTTTAGTCGAACAATCAAATGCTCACAAGAAACATTACACCCAGTGCTGCTAATTGGCAATTGGCAACAATGCTTCTAATTTTGGTACATTTAACTTGTACCAAAACTGTCACAAAATAAGAAGTTCAAAATAACTTCTTAACTTCAAATATGTGGTTCCTAATATAAAACCAGGTACTACTGGGTAGGACACATATTCCGACTACATGGTGGGGCAATGGCAGATCTGTGAACTACTCAAAATTTGTGACTTTTGTGCCAGAATGGTGGAAAAAATGAATCATTGAGATGAGCCATAAACAGATAAGGTGTCACATTTGCTTAAAAGAAATACAATACACAAAATTGACAAAACAGAACATACCGATATCCTTTGCGGCTGTAAGGTCTTTGGCTCTGAGAGGCCTAGTTGCCCAAAAGTGTTGTCTCCCCATCCAAAAACCTTAGAAAATACAGAAACAATGACAATTCAATATTTTAGTGCCACACACAATGTGTCAAATATCTGTACAAGCAACAACTGTTCATGTTGGTAAAAGATATATTTTCAGCTTTTCAAAAAATAAAATCAATTGTAAGCAGGACTGAATTTCAGCTTGAATTATATTGTTTCTAGTTTATACCAAAAACCAATGGCTTTTCGGCAACCACATGTTATGGGAAGGCTGTATTGGGGATTTCAAGAGATGGACAAGAAAGAGACCTGAGCACACTGAAAAACCTTTTGATATAATTATTAACTGTATTTATATATAAGCTTCACTTTATACCTCTAGGCAATTATGTTTTCAGTCTGATTAAAATTGTATTAAAACAAGGCTGACATTAACAAAAAGAAGCCCAAATTTGCAAAAATTCAGCTTTTAATCATTACAAGGAAATTGAATTGGAAGCCAAATACCTGACAGGCTGTAGTTAGAGCAAGAGTGTGGACACTACCAGCTGCAATGTAGACAATATCGTGGCCTTTCAATGTAGTGACACAAACTGGATCAGAACTAGAAGACAAATTCAACCGACATTCCAGAAAAAGATGGTAACGGCCACATGGAAAATAGAGCAATAAACAAAATAATCCTAGGTATCAAATATGGCCACTTCACATCACTTTCAAAATTATAGGAGGCTGGAAAAATCATGGAACTGGAAGTGGTTAAGGAGTAGCAATAGTATTTTGTTCCTTTCAAGTAAGAAAATCTTGATAAGTATACAGTAAAAATAGATTGAATACATAGATTACCATCATCAATGCTCGAATTTGAGAATGATACTGACAGAATGTGACAGTGGATAAACATAATTGGTGCTGAACATAAATAGACAGTGAGCCATAGTAAAAGCCTCACTGAAAATGGTTTCATTTCTTAAATTTGAAAATTTTGTTACAAACTGCACCTTATTTACCATAATAACTAACCTTTCTTGTATCACTAAACTGCTGTCTCCAATCCCAAGCTGACCACTTTTGTTATCACCCCATGCCCAGACCTGACTGACTCCAAACAACTGGACTGACCCAATTTTATCAACTTCAAAGCTACTACCTGTAGTTGCAATTGACCAGGTTGAAGTGGCTCTTGAACGAATTTCATGTTCAGAAACAACCTTTTCAGGAAATTTTTCAGTCTCATCCTTTACAACTGAACAACTTTCTGACAATATTATGTTTTCCATGCTCTTATCAATTGATAAACTGAGGGGATCATTTGAGGATGTTCGCTCTTTAGTTAATGACTGGCTGGACGTACCGATTGTTTCTGAGGAACAGGTTGAATTTGAATTGACATTGTGAAGTGAATCAATAGATTTTCCTTCAGCTAGATTTTTGCTTTCTTCATTATCAACAATATCTAGTGCTGAATAATAAAGATCATTTGTTGATGCTTCTACAAGATGTATGTCTTTTAACCCTAGAGAATTTTCAATATTCTTTTCAGATGTTAAATTTTGACAATTGTCTGTATTTGCTTCTTTAACAGAAGAATCAGGCTTGGATTGTGACAAAGACATGCTCATATCTGCTCCTTTAATTGTTCCATCACTAGAACTTTGCTCATCTTTACTTTTTTCTCCTACACAAACTTGATTATCTTCTTCATTCTGCTCTACCTCTGTTATATCAATTTCTGGCATGATTTGCCCAAATAATTTATTTTCAAAATGCTTTACTGGTATTTCATCAAGTTTCCTCTCATTTTCTTCGGGTTGGTTTTTGTCAAGAGTTCTTTCATTTGCTTCAGGTTGTGAAATATCATTGTCATTTTCATGGTCTTTGCTATCCATATTTGAATTTACTTGACCAGCAGTTTCATCAGAGCATTCTTTTTGATCTCCTTTTTCTAAATTTGTGGCAAAAACACTTATATCGTCTTCACTTTTATCAAATATTGGAGGTGTATCTGTTCTATGTAACTTAGGCAAATCCATTGACCAGTTAATTGCATCTTCTTCATCTTCAACATAAAAAACATTTTCAAAGAAAGGTATCTTCTGGGTTACATTACTGTCAGTCCTTGATAATGAATCTTCTCCATCATCAGACATGCTACCACTCAAGATATCGCTTTGGTCATATTCAGGGTTAGTTTCAGCATCTCCTTGTATCAATGCCACACTATGGTTTTTACCACATGAGATCTGTATAGCACGTTTATTGTGCATCTTTTTAATCCTTGTGGGTGTGACGACCTCATCATCATCCCCAAGCCCATGTCCTGTTGCAAGACCTGTGCCCCATGACCATAAACATCCTCGTGTATCAATAGTCATTGTGTGTTGGTCACCACATGAAACTTCCTGGGCTTTGACAAATCTTTGAACCGATGACCCTAAATTATCATTAAGGCTTGCTTGACTTTTGTCAACAAACCGTACTCTGCAAGGCGTTGTAAAAATTCCCTTCTCTCCTTGGCCACACTGCCCATGCCTTGAATCTCCCCAGCAAAAAACCTGTCCCTTCTTTGAGATAGCACAACTGTGACGTGACCCACAAGCAACTCTATTGACAAATTTTTCTGTTAAGAAAGAAATTTCCCTTGGCGTTTTCCTGTCCACTCGATCACCAAGGCCTAACTGTCCGTATTCATTGCTGCCAACAGAAAATACTTTGTAATCAGTGGAAACAATAATAACTTGACCTTCCCCACATGCAGCTAACTTAACCTGAATTTCATTGAAAAGTGCACATGTCCTCACAGGCGGTTTATAAACCCAGCGATGGAGGTCAGACTTGCATGTATCGTTGTCCAACTTCTTGCCCTCAGAGGAGTCTGCTTCCTTTGAAGCCTGTACAGACATAGTCCTTACTTCAAATTCAATAACTCAGACAATCTGGAAGCATCCGTTATGCTGTATGAGGCTATAGAGTTTTGTGTTTGTGTAGGTGTTTTCAGTTTTGTTCGTCCCCATTCTTAGGCCACATACCTGAGAATGAAAACAAGTCGAGCAACAACAACAACTGGTGCGAAAATTGCCCTTTGAAACGAAAAAGATTTTTGAAGACCTTTGACTGTTTATTTCATTGATAAATCAATAGAGCTGTAGAGCGAACTCTATGGAACGTCGACACTCATTCCACCATGTTTTCCTTTGTCCAACACACATATCAAATAAGAAATTGTATGAAGTGATGGGAGAAAAACCAATATCATACACCATGAGGGAACATAGATGGGACTATTGGTCATATCTTGAGGAGAAGGGGTAGAAATATACCAGCATTTAAAGCCATGGAATTGTACTTCACAAACATAAAAGCCAAAGGATTCAGAGGAAAACCAAGAACAACTCTACCAAAGGTACTGAATGAAGATCTGAATGCCTATTACAATAAAAACCCCATTACAGCAGCTGAACATAACTACTATCATCGGGAAAAGCTCAACACCAAAGAAGATCTGGAAGAATTGAGAACACTGGCCCAAGATAGGAAGGGATGGAAGGAGTTAACAAGAGCAATAATTGTGAAGACCGGAGAAGCAGCGACACCTAATGGTGAAGAAGCGGAACTCCAGTAAAATAACTCGACAACTATTGATGGGGCAAAAGCTAAAAAACGTCTTTGAAACATTTCACCGTTCTAGTTCTTTGCTCTGCCCGATGACAGAATCACTTGTTTTGCTCGATGTTTTAGGTCTGCATGACAGATAAGGCTGTTCTCGCAGGGGAAACATTGTGTTTCTTGTTTTCCTTTCCAACCTCTGGGTTGTGATTCTAGCTACATTGCCTGTCTAGTTTAAAGTTGATAGCCTGTGCTGGGTCTGGACCACAGGCCAAAAAGTTGGATGCAGGAAGACTACTGAAGTTACCTGACTGACGGGATAGCAAGTGGGTGGTTGTCAATTACTATGAATGTATCTTATTGAAAAGTAGGGGACCGTTAGGACTTGTCACAGTTTACCATGGTCCCTGCATCACTGCACAAACAGAAATATTTTATACATTGCATTATGGAAGTCATGTCTCAAGCAAACACAACAGCTTTCTTGTGTACTGACAGACTTTTTTCTCCAAACAATAATTCTAAAACTTAAATGCTTGTCAGAATTCTATATACAACATCGTTTCTGTACGAAGGTAATATCAACAGACACGTGGGGAAAAGGATATCAGTTAAATACATGGTAGGAAGGTAAGATCAAGCATTAGAGGGCATATGTTATTACGTTGACTTTTACAATGCTATATCGAATTCAGCGGCAATCAAGACTAACCAGAGCACGGTACATAATCTATGAAATATCGATATTAGCTTCCAATATAAAGGGAAAAGAGGAAATATATAAAGTCCAAACTGTTAACATACCAAAACGATGAAAATGAAAAGGCTTAAGTAATCACATTTTGAGCTGTTGTAAATAGAATCGATCTTCTTTCATTTGATATGACAAAATTTACAATAAGGTTCTTTACTAGCTCAATCGTGTTCTAGCTTCTTAATTTCTTTTACACACAAGAAAAGAAAGATAAATAAAGCATAAAATCTGAAAGCAACCGTGTATCGAACAAGAAATGGGGAATACCTCAACAATGATATCTCACTAAAAGTGATACCCTGACAGATTTTCGTTAAATCTGCATTAAACTCCAGAGAATTAAAAGAATCTTTAATACTCAAAAATTTCAACGAAAATATATCTTTAAGCATATGCAAAAACTGCAGTAATTGATAAACTGTACAAAAATTAGAACTAAAAGCTGTTGAATTTAGATGCATTAGGTAATTTAAATTGATGTTCGAGAGCAAATACAGGGAGACAGGTTGTCAATAAAGTTCGTATTTTGAAAGTAGAATTGTGCGAAAGAAAGTGACAGTGGCATCATAATGATGACTGCCTCAAAAACAGCAAAGTATCTCAATGCCAACTCAAAGATCAAAAACCTGATTTCTTTTGGCAGGTATACGGGCTTTGTGACAAATTTATATATGATTTTCAGGTACAGTAGCGTATGTGGGAAAGTTTCATAAAAACATTCATATCGATTGGGTATGCTGTACCAGCTGCTTAGGGCCATAGAATCTGCATATATGGACATTTTATCAGAAACACTATAACACTGGCCCATAACAAGCAAACATTCATGATTCGCTTCACCACAAAAAATTCATAGTTTTTAAGTACTCTGAATATCATAATAAACAGTGTTCAAGATGCTAGAAAACCCTGGTATTTGTTCTTTGACTTCTGCGGCCTCAAATTCATCGCTGAATTGAAGGAAAATGTCCATCAAAGTGCCTTATCTGCTTTTCCTTCTTCGTATTCTTGTGATCTGAAAGTAATAGCATAATTTCTTATTTTTATACTACCCATAAACAAGTTAATAAGAAAGTTCCATCATAACGAAACTTCTATATCGGACATACCCTTATATTTCCTTATACCAAACAGCATTTAAATAATTTTGTCCCAAATAACTCTCTAACAACAGACGCCTCTCAACAATGGACACCTCTTTGCAATGGACACCCCGCTACAACGGACATTTTTCTGCATTGGACACCTCGCTACAACGGACGCCTTTCAACAACGGATGCTTTTCAACAACGGACATCTCTCTGCAATGGACACCTCGCTACAACGGACACCTCTCTGCAATGGACACCTCGCTACAACGGACGCCTGTCAACAACGGACGCCTGTCAACAACGGACGCCTTTTAACAACGGACAACTCGCTTCATCGGAATTCTTTCAACAACGGACTGCAACGTAAGTTTCCATTTTGAGGAAGTTTCACTGTGCATCTCTAGTAAGCTTGTATTATCTGAAATGCAAGCTAGATCTTCATCTGTCGTTTATGGATGAAACACTTTGCTTAGTTTCCAACATGTTAATTCTCTACCTTGATACCAAGAACATAAGAAAATCCAAGAGTAGACCAATGTGTATGAGTAAATTCACTAAAATAACGGACAGGAGGCTGCAAATTCTTGATGGTGTTACATGCTAGCTTTCTAATTTACTTAAAAAAACGATCTTACCTGCAGGAGACATCATTGAATCTGGGCCTAAATGTGGCAGTGTTGTGACACTCTCTTCAGATGGCATTCCTCGAGTGAGTCTTGTTTCTCTCGTCTAATAAAAGGAGAAAATGTGTCATGTTGACAGACAATCAAATGCGGAATTCAGCTCTATACAAGCTGACAAATTTAAACAAGACAGTACTGGCATGATTTTCAAGCAAGTGTTAATCTTCAAAGACCCAATTTTCTTCCCCTTGTGTATCAGTTTTTCATGATATAAATCACGGCAATATCAATGACTAATATATCTGCTTGTATTCGGGCTTGATTAAATCAGGTCTTGTCTACTATCAGTAGTGGTGTACATATACTTTTCGTCGAGAAAAATTGTCTTTATTTCATAAGATTAACAAGATGCTGTTTACGCACAGTAGCAACATTCATCTAGTGCAGTCTTACAAGGCAAAGGACCCAGTGCTCATATGTATGCTCCTCTCGTATGATTGTTTTCGTAAACGCAGATATTTTTATCAACATTTGTAGTAAACATTAAATCTTTATAAACAAAAGGTATATCATTAGTATAATAAGGTCATGCCCAAGGAATTATGCCAATGTCAGAATAGTAGTGTTAGCCTTGATAAGGCCTTATATACAAATCGTTTGAAGAGATGTGCAAAATACAAGAAACTAACACGGCGTATTCTAGGTTATACCATCGCCTTAACAAATTATGATTAATCACGTGAAGGTGAAAGTTAACTGGTAAGACGTTAGTTCTTTTCAACTTACCCGGCCCCTCTTCTGTTTTTGTTTATCTGCTTTGGCGATGATTGCCTAAAATCCAAACAAATAAATATTTGGTCATCACATCACAAAGGAATTTCCCACTTGAACCATTTGTAGTTAATTTTCTTCCTGCCTTTGACAATTACTTGACACGCGTCTGACGTGCCTTGATTCTTAAATATCACAAAGATCTGTCTACAGAATCGATCACTGGTATACAAGCAGATTTGCTTTCTTTGCCTCAATAAATTGTACCAGCTAAGAATTAGAGTGGAGCAGACATCAAAATAGCGACAAAACAAGAAATAAAAGTTTTGTGCTGTGGTAAACAGAATTGACCGAAGGATAACAGGCTAAAACAAATTTGTAACTCTTAAGTGAGAAAAAACCTTTTTGAACTAAACAAAGATTCAACTATGTATTTGCTTCAACCTAGCAGCCGAAAATTGTTTTTAGGACACTGAGAAGCTATGCTTTTCTAGCAGTGTCCTGATCGTTCCTCTTGATCTGACCACACCTCGTGATTCCTTTGCCTGGAATTACAGAGCGTTAGCAAAAGTGAAAGTTTTGTTTCGTCATGTCAGGGAGTCAACCTCACACTATTGCAGATTGTAATTCTACTGATGTAGCTGCGATAATATATTCTAACGATAATATCTTGCAATACCAATTAGCTCTAAGAAATGGGCCTTCTAAATAACCAACCCTGGTTTCAACGCGTCAGGGCATGGAATTTAAAGATGATGGCCAGGAACAAAAAACAAAGGTCGGCTTTCTTATGCAATCTATGCTTCTGCGTACCAAATAAATTATTAAATTTCCTTTACAGTAAGAAAATTTTTTAAGTCAAGAGCTCAAGGGCGTTAATTTACAGAAGTATTATAATAATTACTGGATCAACTCAATAAGTCTGTGTAACTTTAATAAACAACTGCATGGCTTTTAATTTAAAAAGAATTCTCTGCAACTGATAAAGAAACTGACCTGCAATTCTGGTTCGAATGTTTTTTTGAATGTTTCAAGGTACGGGTGATCTAGCAACTGAGCACATGATAGTCTGCTACTTGGCTCCATAACAAGGCAGCCCTGGAAAAGAAAAATTACTCTAATATACAACAGCACAGTTGTATTTTGCAGTTATAGATACGGCAAACCATCAATGTTGCAGGATACAAACACCTTTGCATTTTAACCGGCAGCCAAAACCACTTTAATTCTATGCAGACCGTATTATGTCGATTTTCCATAGTTATGATGAGAATTTATTCGCACTAAAGAAGGATAGCGACGGGATTTCTAGGCATATCGCGGTCACTTAAGATGGCAGTGGCTGTTTATCGAAAACGCTGGCGGGAAACATTTAAACCTGGTTATTGTCAATAACATGATGAGAACTGAGAGAAAATGCATCATCTAAACGAGAAATGATTCAGATTCTTTTACCCGGAAGAAGATGTCTGGCAAAAGTATGATTTTTCGCGAAACTCTTGGCTTCTAACGCACACATAAACAGCCATTTCGTTATATTGCTGTAGAACAAAACAGCGCGAAAACAAGATTCCGCAATTCTTAGCTAAAATTTTATTGTTTTGCAAAAAGAAGACTTCAATGAGACTACCAAAATCATGGCGGCGAAGCAACACAGCTATTGATTGCAGTGTTAAAAAATGAAACAGGCAGCCTGTACGTGTAGGAAACAGTGGAGAATGTCTAGACTTTAAAGAACTGGAATTTGTGAAGATTTAATTTCACAAATGTCGAAATTTAGAAAACTTCATTGAAAAACACTAATCACACCGGCAATTTGTTGGTCTACCTCGTCTGCATCGTTTTCTGCAACTGTGAAATGCATTTCAATCAAGTTAGATACCTTAACAATAATTGTTATTACTGCAATGACCACCTTAACAAATGAGATGATCACGAGATCTGAGCCACGTGAGACAATAAAGCGCCAAATTAAACTAAAAGATGTTTACCTTCATAAAACTGAGGGCTTCTGAAGAAGTTCCACGAAATTTTGATTCCAGTGGTTCCTTGAATAAAAAATTTAGTTACGATACTCTGCATTGCATCTTACAACGATACTAAACTATAAAACGAAAGAGATTTTTCGTTAAATTTCCCAAAAAATCACAGATCAGGAAGGCCATAAAAATCGTATGTTTGACAACTGACATTTTAATATAAAAAGAGAGAAATCAAAGTAAGCTTGCATAATTTTTTTTTAATTCTGGTTTATTAGATTAGCAAAAGGTTTACTCGTGTTTGCGATTTTGTACTAATTGTGTAAATCTGTAAATATGATCGCTCTTGCCGTCTTTCACAGTTTTTTTCAAACTTTGACATCCGTTGTAAAGTAAGGTTTGCGTCATATGGTACTGCGTAGCGGCGTGCGCAGCGAATTACAACTCAGCACGTCAGCATAAATCATAATAGATTGGAGTAGTGAGTAGAGAGATAAAAACACGCGGGGATGTAAAAGTTATTTCAGTTATGAATATATATTAAAGTTTTGTTGATATAAAAAAGGATGTTTATAACAACATCCATTCGTCAGTATGGTAGATAAAAAGCTTTCAAGCACCATATCATATGATCATAGATATTTGAGAAGGAAAAATCCTGGAACAAAATTCCCACTTTCCAAAAATCCATCAAACAAATTCGTTCATTTTGAACTCTTAAATGTAGACAGGACTACATCTATTTTACTACAGAATAACGCCTTTTCAGGCAATCACGGTTAGAATTCTGTCATACATGATACAGGAAGCATTTTGAATTTACGTTCGTAAGTACGTAAAAACAGCGAAAACAAAATTATGGTGAAAAGATTTTAACATATCAGCCAATTTTACTGAATGAACTTACAAAAAGCTAGATTGAAAAGGCAAGTAGCGATAGGGAAACTCTACGGCTGGAAATGTCTTAATGCCAAAAGGAAGAGTCCAAGATCAAGGAGTTTAGAATCAAGCTTACCATTCGATCGGGTTCAGGAACTGGAATTCCATAAAAGAACTGGTTGTTACTAAATATTTGGATGTGTCGCGGAATGAGTTCACCTGAAAGAAAATAATGAATTACCTTGATGGAAAGCAGTTTATTTTGGCTGCAATCAGAGAGAACAAAACAAGAAAAAGCTTTCTAAATAAGAAACGGCAAAAAAATATGGAAAACGTAAAGAATAAAGACTTCGATGAAGGTTTTAAACACACTTTAAAAGTGAAAATTTCATTGTCTGAAACTTTGATCACCCAATTTTGCAATTTTTCAAATAATTTGTTCTAAGAGCACTTTGGCAGCCTAGAATATCGGAGGAGATGGGTTAGGAACTTGATCAAAAAAAACTATTATTTGCATTGCCCAATACTATTTATTGATAACTTAGAAACTGATTTTTGGTAGACTTACACGCTGAGAACAGTATAAAGTTTAAAACCTGTAGTACTATCGTGGCAATATAATAATAAACTGGTGCATTTTACTTGTTAAAAACTACACAATAGATCACAAAACCTGGAAATTTGGTGTAACCTCGAAGAAACTCGGATCGTTTTTCAAACTGTTAACTGTACATTTGCGGGTGATTGTAGCTAATCTGACCAGATAACAAACGAACATAATCGAAGAAATATTCTCGAAAATGCAGCGTCGGTAATTAACGGGCTAATTCTATTGAGTGTGAACTAGATGCAACATCAAAACACCCTTAAGAGTATTCTAAACCCTGTTATAGTTATGCTTTGGTCTTGGCTAAATCTTAGCTATGGAAAGTAATGAAAATTTGCAGACTTGTAACTGGCTTTCCCTTAGAATTTTAATAATGAATTGACCTCTAGTTCGGTGAAATTCTTGTATTGCAGTCTGCCACATTGAAATTAAAATCTTATGACACAAATGAAGCTGCTCTCTTTTTCATTCATTAAGAAATCAATTTTTCATGAGTCTTATGTCTGATATAACTATATGCCAAAAATTTTGACTTATTCAATAGATTAGCACTGTGAAGGTCGAAATTCCATTGCAGATGACAAATATATTCATAGATGGGTGCCAGCATGACGAATAAAATAAACAAAATCAGTTAGAGAAATTTGAAAAAGCAAACTGTTTGAATAAATGAACTTAAAAAGTGAAAAGAAAACCAGATATTCTGTTCGTTACATCAAGCGAACACCGCCCAAATATTTATCTTTTAATATTATTCCTTGATTCAGTGCAACATCATGATGCAAGAAAAAGACGGATTTTTGGGTGTCACTCGAAACAAGACGGATTTTTGAGTGCTTGAACTGTCAGTCTAAAAATAATTTTAAAGAGCCAGTGTAGCTATCGAGCCCCCCCCCCCCTTACTATTAACTTTATTAACTTCTGTTCTTGTATTACCATTTTGCAAGCTAGGGGTAAACCATTGGCTTGGCTATTCTAATTCACGGTAGCTTGATTTATATAGACCGTACTATGTCAATCGTTCCATTCTCCTGGAAGTGGGAATTCCTTTCATGGCATCTACGAATGCCATATGTATACCGGTAACTGTGAAAGTATCTTTACTGAGATAACATACTCAGATATCCGCTGAACTCTAAAGGTAAAGCAAATGTTTTTACTCTTCTCCCCTTATTAAAGGTTGCCTTGATAAAAGTGCGTCTCTGATAAGCCTGAAGTGTTATTGGGCTTTTTTTATTAGAGATTTCGTACAGAGCATCAAAATGTCCCCTAAATGATATTATTTAACATAAAAATGACGTAGAAACTGCAAAGTGCTACGCATATCATTGTCAGAAAAAAGAGATCTGTGTCTCTAAAATAACTCTCGGATATATATAACATTTAGAACAGATTGGTTTTTCAAATTAAACTCATTGTATATACTCTTGGACAGTTAACATTTGAAATCTTTATGATGTATGTTTGTGTTTGTCGAAGTATTTTCCGAGTTTGGACATACCTAAATTCTTTTTTATAAGATACAACTGGTCGACGTCCGATCGTCCAGGCCACAATGCTTGTCCACTTATGAGTTCAGCAAAAACGCACCCTATGGACCAAACATCAACAGGGGTTCCATACTGTAAATCACCGACTAGCAACTCTGGTGCCCTGTACCATCTCGTGGCGACATAGTCTGTGAATGCTTCACCGGGTACTGGAAAGGAATAGCAGCGACGTCACTTTTCATTTCATTTCGTATATGTTTAAGGAGGGTAGACCTTCAGCAAAGCTTATTTTGAAAGGGCTCTCGACTAATTATAACCAAAGTATACACAAATTATAACAAATTAAAATACCATAGATTAAAAACATCCACGATAAAAAGACCAAATGGCCAACACCTATTTACAGGTGAGTAAGTTAGTCTTAAAGTTGCTGAGGGAAGATGCCTGTTTACACTCAGCTGGAAAACCATTCCAGTCTGTGGCACCTCAGAGTCTCTAAGCCAAATCCGAAACAATATCTGACAGAAGGTGCTGTTTATAGGCTAAAGATTTCTGCTGGAGAACCTTTCACCATCTCCTGCTCATTAGCTCTTCAGCTCTAATTTTGTCTAGCTTCAATTTGCAGTCAAGAGCATAAGCGAACGGGGTGGGAAACTGGTGAACTGCAAGGGTGGAAACTGGAGACCACCAACTTCTTGCAGTGCTATTGCTCCGGACATTATGCATTCATCTTTTACAATAAACAGATGTCAACAATGAGTATTCCGGTTTCGTAGCGCGTATCACCCATTTTCAGCACTCGTTTTCTCTTATATTTTCGTAATTTAAACGTTATTTATTTAAGGCTTTAGGGTCCTAAATGTAATTTTCCATGCTGGGAAAAGGTTTAATTCTTAATTCAGTAATTCATTTCATGACAAAAGATAAAAGAGTTTTATCTTTTTTCCAAAAGAAGTTAGTTGGTCTCTTTGCAGATTTTTAAGGACAATTTCCAATACCAAGCATTTTTTTCTTTAATGTAGCGAGTGAAACAATTCTGGCAGAAGGATCGGACAACCAAAATTAACAGTGGCAAACCAAAATCATGTGTTAGATTCAGATAATGACAACAATTTTCGGGGCTGGTGTCGGAATGTTAATTAAGACCAGACATATTTGAATGATGACGTCAATGGGCAACAACAGATTGGAAATTGGATTAGCAAAATGCAGTGAAACAGTAACGATAGTGCTTATCTGACGAAGTAAAATGGGATTCATTTACCAGGAGTGCACAAAACAAGGACAGGTCATTGATAACAAAGAGACAAGCACACTTACCGAGATGTCGGGCAAAACCAAAGTCACATAACTTAATTATCCCTTCTTTGGTTACTAGAATATTTTCTGGTTTGACATCGCGATGAATACACTGAAAAACACGAAAGATAATTGTATAAGGGCCAATTGACAAGGGAAACGTAAAAAACATTTGAAATACGCTTAAGATGAATAATACTTATATGCATACGATGCAAGTTTTTGCATTGTTGCTAACTTTGCTATTAATTCTGTACACTGTCAGAGACCTATTAGAAAGCTAGCTTATTAGAGGAGGGAGATTGAGAAAACGCTTTGCTATCTAACCTAAATAAAACGCGTCTCCAAGCAAACTCAGGGGCCGTGGAAACAGGGCGGGGGGAGGGTAGAGGTTTCAGGAGTCTTTAGCCATTGTGATAAAAACAATGAAAAATAATATTGCTTTTGACCATTTGACATTAAGCATCCATAACCCCCCCCTCCCCCTCCCCCCCAAACCCCTCCACTAGTCTGTATTACGCTCTTGGTGCGCTTGATACAAAATACAATTCAGAGACTATTTGGTATAGCTTAGTTTCTACAAAGACACTAATTGAATGAATAAATCAGTCTTTCTCATAATGGCATCTTTCTCATAACTTCAAGAAAAATGGTATTCTAGATGGGGCTTGAAATATTTGGGTACTAGTTGCTGATTAGAGAAGGCATATTACTAAATTGCACGACGGAGATATATACTGCTTTTTACGGCGCTCGCCGGGTACGGGAGAGGTAAGTGTATGAAATTAGTTCACCGGGTACGAGGGAGGGAAGCGTATGAAATTAGTTCGCTTAACTTTGTAGATGTCATTCGGCCAAACCAATTTAAAGACAACGATTTTGGTTCAAAAAGACGATCTCTTCTCCAATGAACATGAACTGAGATCAATACAGATCCTGAGATTTTTAACATTGTCAAACACTTACATTATGCTCGTGGCAATATTTTACAGCTTTCAAAATCTGATAGAGAATTTCCTTGATAGCTTTATCTTCCAACCTAGAAAAATGAATTCATAAATAAAACAAAATGGGTGATATGCTGAAGTATACAAACATTGAAACAAAATTAAGCAGCATTTAGCAGCAGGTAATTTAGCAGCAAAAATAGTCATTTGAGTAGACTGGAAGATTTTAACCCCAACTTTACGCCATTTACAAAAGCTCAGTTGCCAAAAATTCTATTTTTAGTTTACTTATAACTCTTTTAGGAATTTGGAAAAGGGTCTGATATCTTCTACAAAGGTACCATTCTTTTCATAGTGCTAGCACATTGGGGAAAACTGGCAAGCATAGTTTTCAAGGCAAAACCAATATGGCTTTGTGAACCTTGTATAGATTTCTTTTAATGACAAATCGACCGCCTGAAAATGACTGGGGTTAAATCTGTTAGAGACATAACATTGGTTGCTTCTTATTTTGACCTGAACACTGAACTGAGTTTTATTTGCATTGAAGTTTAAAAATGTATAATGTGATTATTTTGATCTTGAGCAGGATAACTAACATGTCTGAACATGATTTTAAGAGACGGAGCCGATCCGTGGAATAATCTAAGATATCAGCTGAGATTTTTCTGCCTGGCTAGCGACTTTAACAATTTGCTTTCTTCTCAACGGCCTTTGAGCTCTGATTGCGTATATGTATTCAACAGGGCTCAAACTGATAACTGTCGGCTTAGCTCAGGCTTTTCATTCTCAGCAACATCGAAAAGTCAAAAATTCTTTCTTGATTACCGTGGATAATGTCTAAGCAAATCATTACGCTTCTGGTCTTTATCGCTACACTGCGATGAGACAAAAACAGTTTGGGTTTTACCCTGGAACATTCGAGGTGCTGTAATAACAGAAATTTCGCAAAACGGCAGAAAGCCTGTCAACACAACTAATTTCCCCATCATAAACAAAGAGGGTAGAGGGTTCAAAATTATCAGATACCATTGTATACAATATTGTCTCGGATCAGAGAATGTCCTTTTACTTATCTAGCCCTTAAATTACACTATATCGCATGGTGATCCATCTTTTTCCAATCCAACCCTTTAAAAATTACCCTATTTGTTTTATGTGTTTTAATTACTATTTGTTTTGTTTCTGAAATACAAAACAAATGCGTGAGAAAGTCATAAATTTTATCGTAAGCAAAAGCAAACTTACGCTTCTCAGTTAATGTCAAAAAAATTTATATATACGGTTCAGACAAAATGATTTTCGAAACATTGTCCAACATCTTTCAGAAACTGAAGATGGGAGAAATTAACTTTTGAGATACAGTTTTTCAGGCCAGTAAACTGAGATTCAGGTTGGCTGGGCTTGAGGCGGGGTTCATTTTAAATTTCTTCGTAAATTATTAGAAAGTTAGGATTTCAAATTTCAGACACGTCGAACATGCATAATGCAGGTATAGCTTTTTAAAAGATTTATACAAGAAATAGTCAAAAACATTTCTTATAGTTTGAAGTCAGTTGTAATATTTTTTTAATTAGCTGAACTTGAACATTATTGGCATCTTTCGAACATTTCACAGTACCCTAGCCTCAGCTTGTTTCTAATTTGTTTTTGGGAGTGTTGGCATGTGCTCCAGACCCCTAATATGAAAGAAGGGAACACAGGCTATGGAGTGTATACTGCAATCTTTCACACTGTCTCAGATAATCTTAGAGTGGCTGTGTATACAATTATCGACGAGCCCTGACAAGTGTCAGCTTAAAACCTGCCAATTCAACAGTTCGCTGGCTACAAATGCCACATTAAGCTGCATTCATCTCAATAATTTAGGCTGAGCTATTCAAAGCACCAGAATACAATCAACAACAAAGGCTAAGCGTTTTGTGGTATATTCACAGAGTGTGACTTCAGTTGCTTGGTAACACCGTAGCAAGCCACACCTACAGAATTTTTCAATGAATATGTTTTTACAGCATAGCGGGGAGTAACAGCTTATTTGAAGTGCCCTAACAATAATTGATTCAGTTTAATAATTGTAAACAAACACATCATGACGTCAACATGATCATGTTTGCTTCTTCTCGAGTAGATAAAATGTCACGCAAAGGGCACTGTGATTATTTTCTCATCTTTTAACGAATGAAACCTTATTAACAGCTGACTAACCGTGCGACCAAAACTACAAAATCAGATTATATCTGAGCGAGAAAAGAGTCGGTGTGTGACAAGAAAGTGATGGGACAAGAAAGAAGTAGGACAAATGGAATCTTAAGGTCGACGGGCTCTGAGGACACACACAGTCTTCTGAAGACACATTCTTACCAAAGCAGAAAAATATTATTTTTATATTTTCTGAAGTCAAACTAAACACAGCGCAATCCACAAAAGCTAAAGTATTCTGAAGAGTTTTGAAGATCTTTGAAACGACAAAAAAGCTCACAATAGAACAGAAGAAATTGATTCTAGGCTGACATTCATCTTCTCTTCACCACTAGACATAATTAGAGATCGGAAAAAGAAAATGGAAGCAATTAGTTCGATTTCTTGATAAAAATTGTACTAGAAAAGCCCCAACATTCTCCCCAGAGCCTAACGAATTTGAATGAGTTTTATATTTGAAAAGTCTTTTTGTACTTACCCGTTGGGGCGAGCCTCTAGTTCATTCAGGACAGTGTGATCACAGTATTCGAAGACGAGGTGCAGTTTTCTTTTTCTTCTAAAAACTTCCAATAGATTGACTAGATTTGGATGCTTGAGTTGCTGCAAGAAGAATTGTGGCTGTGTAAAATACAAATGTTTACTGTGAAGAAGCAATGCTGCTAGATATCAGCTAGAAATATTGCTTTTAACTATTTGATTAAACTTATGGGAATTTTGGATTTTCTGTCATGGCATTGACTTGATTCACAATATTATAATATTCACAATATACCGCAAAAATGCAGTTATGCTCTACTTTGCTTGCTTCAGTTATAAGACTTCTGTCCTATTATTCAGAAGCATGAACCCTGATTAAGTTTTTTCAGAAGATACAGAACATGATTTTGTGTAATGAATATAAAAAGTAGCTCATTGTATTAGGAGGTCCGTAAGCAGCTTCTTTTCGCTGATCGGTTTAATATAAATTAACTGAGCACTGGTTAGATATAAGGCTGTAGTTCTTGGCTTATCAAACTCGAGAAGAAGAGACCTGAATAGGAAAATTGTAAAAATTGTTATATAATTGTGAAGCCAAAAGTTGTGGGAACATGTAAGCTGTGGGTCAGACAAATTTCTTGCGAATTTATCCTGGAGCAGCTGGTACCTGTTTTGCGTTAATTTCGTTGGCGCCAAGGTAGAATCCCTTACAGTATGTTTTTGCAAAGCTAGGCTTCAACAAATACTTCAGAAATACGTCAAAATACGCTTCAAATTAAGGAATTATAGGAATGTTTATGTCTAGTACAACTGCAGAGGTGATATCAAAAGAAGGGAAGTTTTGCGTTTCTTTTGGGGTATTTACCGTTCTTTCTCTTGGGGCAACAGCGATGAAAATACGTTGTGTTACTGTTTCACAAGATTTGCCAAACTTCTACAGCTGTTTCTCCTGACAGCGAAATGTTTTCTACAATTTCTAAGCGCTTTCCGGTAAACTTTATATACGATCTAAGCACTTTTAAGTAGATTTCCTACGATACCAATCTTTTTACACCTGTAAGATCACTAAGCAACTTATCTCGACCATGAAACATGCTTTAACTTCTTGTAGTGATTGGCGAAAAAAGAGGGGGAAAAGCTTTGCTCTGAAGAGGAGTAAAAGAAGGTATTGCTTTTAGGGAGAGTAGTGTTAGTGCCGCACTGGTTAAAGAAGTTTTTGATTTAGACAACATTGAGTGTGGGACTGAACTAACGAAACAGATATGGACTTTTTGTGCAGTCTACCAATCCTTCAGCACATAAACCGATCCAAACCGTGGAGACATAAATAATTAAGACCTTATGACCTGGAACTCTTCACTAATGCCGATAATGTCTTTCGAACTTGATATGAAAATATTTTTTACAAAATTAATCATTTACAAGTATGCATAAGAAAATACCATAAAGCTGTAAATATTTCTTTGTTGCCATATCAACAAAATCAATAATGGCAGGTGCTTAGGAGTATATATCATTAATCCCCTACAATATGCTGGTTTTTGAATGGTGATATTGAGTAGGGCGAGTAAATACTATTCATTATTCAATAAAGAACATCATAATCAAGAGCTATGCATTAACATAAAATTATTTCAATACATTACATAATTTCATGGAACAGCTCACAGAAAGAAACAGAAGAAGAGCCTTTGACACGTGCCATAAAACGAACTTTGTTTCATTTATTTGTTTCTACTCTTGACATGAACAGAAATGCGAGAAAAATTACCCAGGGGTAATCTATTTTCCCCCTTTTTTAGACTTTTCAAATTCCGGACAGTCTGCAGCCCTAGACAAAAGAGTTTTGAATTTGGATGAATAGAGGGTGCCGCCTTCATGTATAGAGTTAACTATCTTACTGCATCAATCTGCTCTTTCCCTTCTAATGTTTTACTAACAGAAGCAAAAATCCTTTCAATATCTTTCATTACTTTAAGGTACAGCTCCAAAAAAGAAACAGTAAAAGAGCCGTAAAACATGCCGTAAAATGAAAATTGTTCAGCGCTAGAGGTCTTATTTTGGTATGAACTTAAATGAGCATAAAGAGCATTACAATAACTCTTTATCTAGTGCCATAATCAAATTTTCCAATAAGGATGAAGGAAGACCAAGAGCAAAGGAAGTATGGTAGTCACAGTTGCAATGAAAATAAAGGAAACTTAAGTATCACACTGAACCATGCTTATTTTCGTTTCTTTCCAAAGGAAATTTTTCAGAGCATAAAGGTATCATTAACAGAAAAGATAGGCACTTAGGATTTTTTACTCTGGCCAAACTTTTCTTAGTTAATCTGCCTTTTCCCACAGGCAAAACCTTAACTACTTTAACTATATTGCTTGAATAAATTGACAGAAATTCCATCAACTAACCAACCCAAACAAGAAACCCAAGATACAGAAAGTATTACATGCTATGCTAACATATCATATCTACAACTTATATTTAAAAATTTAAGTGATAGTGATTGGACAGAGGCCTTACTTGCCTTGACTTGGACAAACTACAAAGGAACTTGGAAATCTAAGAAAGTCCTCTCCTTACTGACCTTCACAGAGATGTTGTTATTCTGTAATTTAATAGCTTGATTTTTTGTGCTATGATTGATTGTAAACAATATTTCCAATTGAAAGCCTTTTGTGTTGACAACAAGCTGTTGAAGCAACATATGGTAACCTACTGTCACACAAAATGATTTCCCTTTAATCACTTAACATGCTGCAATTTAAATGAGAATAAATATTTCTGTGATTCGGATCGTCCCAAAAAATATGATTGTCTTTCTTACTGTTATCTTTCTAACTGAATTTCATGCCATCTTATTACTGGCTTTACAGATGTAGCAAGTACATATGCGGCTGTTTACTGATTCTTTATGAAAATTTTTTTGTTGCACCTCATTAAGATAATTCTAATTCTAATTCTAATTCTGATAAATGACACGCCAGTTAGAGGAGTAATGTAGCAAAACCAGGACTGCGGACAGAGGGGAGGTAGCCAAGACTGGGGCCCCTAATTATGGAATCTATATTAATTATCATAATCTGGAATCTATATTCATTGTCAGGCAAGGGGCCTACATGCATTTGTTGTCCTGGGACCTGGCGTTGCTCTCAGTAACCCTGGACAAAACTTTTTTAGAAGGCTAAAAGTTTCAGTTGAATACATCAAAGTTGTATCCCAGACAACTTAGCCTTTTAACTTATTAGGACTTATTTTAAATTCCTTTTGGATTTTCCTACCCGATTAAAGCTAAATCATGTACGGTCCCTGATAAGTCAGGCATTGCTAATTCAAACCATTTCTTTACACCCCTGATTGTTATACTTCACAGAATTCCACTGTATTTTACTTTAAAAGTGGAACTTTGCTAAATAGTAACTCAAAACCAAAATGGTAACTAAATATCTACTCAAAGTACTTTTATGGGGACCACAGCCCTTGCTCAAAGCCATGACATAACAACTCACTTTACACTTATGATCACTTTACATCCATTTCAGTTAAAAGCTATAAGTCTTACTTTATCTGTGAAATGATCATTTTAATGGCATTCCTTCTATAGATTTTTTTATTTTTGAATAACTCGTATTTTCTCTTTCTGATGATACACTATGGATATTCTAGAAATGGGTAATATGCTCTATATTTAAAGAGAGATTACTAAAGAGCATCACAGACATAAATCCCAGTGTTCTAAAAATGACTTTGATTCCTTTTCAATTTGAATTGACATCCGGCTGTATCCAAAAAAAAATTATATAGAACATCTGGTGACGACATGGAATTCTGTCATGCTTGGTTGCCATAAATAGATGCGTATGTTAGCCAGTTTTATATCCATCGATTCTCTTTAACACTTGAGAGCAAATTTTAATAATTTCCAGACTGGTGTTGAAAGATTTCACAAAGCTATCAATCACTAACTTACATAATGCTAACTTTGTAAGCCTTTTTGGCAGAATTTTATTAACAAAATGCTTTAGAAACTACAGCAGAATAAAATTAGCAAGTGGAGTTTTTAAGTGTTTTGAATTAAATTAGTGATTAGGTGATAGCTACAGGTGAAATTATTCATATGTCCATAGATTAAATTAAAATTGAATATATTACCTATCAGTATTAGAAATTTGGTGATAATAGCTTCAACCTTACTCTTAGTTTCAGCAGGATGTTCTATTCTTTATCAGCCCCTGCCTCTTTGTTATGACATTTTAAATCCAAAAAGATGACAAATCAATTTTCTTTAGTATCATTGGGCCCCTAGGCTGCACTAATATCTTTAAGAAGGGTTTTTAATATTTGTTTCGAGAATTTATGCGAGAAAGAAGGCAAGTGGTAAGGATAATGAATGCAATCATTTTGGAAATCGTAGTCACTCAGTTCATTGGGCTGGTCAAGCTTCTTGCAAGAAACCAAGGAAGATTTTCTTTCAGTTTCGATGAATTTTTTGATACAATATGCTTCAAAGATAGACCTCACAGTATCCTATAAATCAGTAATACAATATCCATATCCTAAAAACACTCTTGCTGCGACAGGAGTGCAGTGATAAGGAATAAAAATAAATGATTTTGTCAATTACGGGGCTGGGTGATGCTAAACTTTCAACAACCTCAGCAAACTCAAGTGCTAGCGAAAGTTCATTCATATGTCTATTGATAATTAGAAGGTAAAACACAGCACACAAAAAGCATAAAAACAAGTGCTTGATAGTAAACTCTAAAACCTACCTTCAGCATTCTAATTTCGCGCAGCGCTATTTTCCTGATCAACGGATCATCTTCAGACTCTGTGAACTTCTTTATGGCGACTATTTGTCCATTTTCACGATTTCTGCACTTGAAAACGTGTCCGTAGGAACCTTCCCCAATTTTAGTTAACTTTTCAAATTTGTCCATTTTGGCTAAACCTGGCTGGCGAGCAATTTTGACTGCGACCTTCAACGGTCAGTAGACTCAACATAAATGACAGATCTTTCTAGGCCAAAACAGAAGGCTGGTCTCGATGAACCTCTACAGTCTACACAACTTCTGCAAATGATCAATATTCATAACACTCTGAATCAGGTCAAATCATTCTTTATATGCAATTTAATCGACTTATCATCACAGCAAGATCACTTATTATCATACTACGGTAGTACGGTGCTGCACTCTCAGTGTTTATATCTATCCTTCTCTGCACTCAGATAAGTTGACAAGTAGCCCTAAAAAGTCATGGTTATCAAGGGTTTACTACTCGACCCGTCAAAGGTGTCCTTGTTAGCCCGACGTTTGGGGGGCAAAATAGAGGTTCATGGCTCATTATGCAAATCCCGCCAAAAATTATCTTTTAAATGCATGAACTTCCCAGTGTACTATTTGTCGGGTGTTTTTAAATGACAATCAACCTTCAAAACATTAATTGACAATACTTTTTCATGAAATTGATATATTTCACAAACGATGTGATATTTTTTGTTTACGATGTGCCATGTGAGTTTCAATTTTAAATACAAAGGTAATATTGAGAATAAGTACAAAAAGATGCCGATTTTATAATTTGGTATAAACTTTGATAATCATTTTAAGCAATGTGATGAGTCGACGCTTTGCTTCTTGTTCAAAATAGCTCTATTTTATTATCTTGCTTAAACTTAAACTTGCATCAACTAAGTTCCCTGAAGCAGCTAATCCAGGGGAATTTCCTAAAACGTAAGACCTTTACAGCTGCAACTAAGCTTCGACTAATTATGTTTTAGTACTTTCTTTGTTCATTTCATTTTGCAAACCGGCAGCCTATCGGTATATAAACAGTGTTGAAATTTATATTTTAAGAGGGATCGATAGCAAAACTTCGCATAATTAACTTTGATACTCAGATTTTCTTCTGATTTGTGAAACTCCCCCAGTATCATGACATTTTGGGAACCGTCCATCAACAGTGACGCTGAGATTTAATCAGCTCGCATGGAAACATAATACAAACACAAAGAATTTCTCGACAATTGCTAAAAAATGTCACATTTACGAAAAGATAGTCGCACAAAAGGGAAAAATGAGAAATGGTGGTTTATTAACACTTACAATAAAATTATTTTTTGCTCTTTTTGTCCAGCTTTCTTACTTCCCGAAGTTACTGTTTGATATAAAAGGTATCTAGAAAATATACGTATTTCACTAAAAAAATCAATACTTGTCAAAGAAAACCTGGAACATTGAGCAATTAGCGTTGTATCTTTAAATTTTTTATGTTTTTACGTTGCTATTAGCTTTGTTATTACTTCTATTCACAAAAGATCAAGACAGTGGAATTCACTGCCAGTGGCAATAAAGCGTAACACAGATGTTGAAGAAAGGCCTTATCTTCTAGGTTCCCGGTGCTACCCAAGGCTCATTGCTTGGTTCTTTTCTCTTTTTAGATGACATGCAATATAAAGAACATACATATTCTATCAACTGCTAAACGAATTTACGCCATCACTCTCTAGGACATATCTTCACTAACAATATTTTGAACAGTTTTCAATGAAACGGTGATTCCCATTTCAACTTTTTATCTCTCTCCATGCTTACATTGAATTCAATGAAGAAATTGTAGGTATGTGCCGATACGTTGAGATTTCATTGTAATGAATTGTGTATATTTATTCATTTTTCATATAGCCAATTAAAGTTTATGTAATTAAATTATTCCTTGACCTAATCAGGCTGGGGTAGGTTGTTTGCTAGTGGGAGAAACTCACAGACTGTGAGGTTAGAAAGTGTTGGACAACATTTGATGTCAATCTTTTTCTATATCATGTGGTTGGCAATACTTTTTCTCCTATAGAGCTGAGACACCTTCAAGCTCTCCTAGTGTTGTGATTGGTAGGGACCACGCAGCATGTTACGGATTGGGGGGGGGGGCTGCATTTTTTGGTGGCTAGAGAAGCAGAAGGCAAAATGCAAGATTCTATTGCATTAATTCTAGCACAGTTTTGAAAATCATTGGGGAGGGGCTTAATTCCCTTGTATTTGTCGTCCCTGGATACTGGTGACCGTGATTAAGGTGCCCCTACCTAGCTGCCGAACTTTCTTGAAAACCTTTTTGTCATGAGATTGTTCATGCAGTTAAAAAATAGGCCGACACATCATGCTGAGAAGCTTATGAAATTCTATTGAAGTCATCATCCTCATTATTTCTTTCTTTTGTAATTTTCGGCAGCAATAAATATTAAATGAAACACATGCTGGGAACTTGCTATTTCAATCAGCTAAATTTTCTGTTTGCGATAAAGGATAAGAATGATGCTTGCTTTCCGTCTCTGATCAGAAGAAATCAAAGGAGACTTTTTAGACCAATTAAAAAAACGGAAATCGTATAAACTTCGCTTCTATTTCGAGAAACCAGCCCTCTTTATGTATCATTAGCCTTTCTACACCCCTGAAAAGCGTTCTTTCCCGGCTTCAACCGAGTTAAAAGGTTATTTCACCCTGTTTATCATAATCATACCACTTTATATTTTAGTTTGTAACAGAATGAGATGAAGAGCAAAACCACTTAATACAATAACAAGCGATATCATCTAAGTTCTGTTGTTTGTTATTTGCAAAGACACACTCTTACTCACAATTATGGCGTGTATGCAGAGGTGATTTCTAAAAGATTTGACAAGGAGGGGGGGCTCTAGGGGCGATTTTATAAGAAAGGGTGTGGTTTTTCATGCCCGTTGTTTCATAGGTACAAATTACATATCCAATGCTTAAGCAAGCAAATTCTCTTACGACAGTGTCTCTTTAAGGAATGCAGCTGTAGGAGACCATGGTTTATCACGATTTATCAATCTACCAATATAGCTTCAAAGGAATAGACAAGCAATCGACGTTATTTGAAAAGGTGCCAGAGATAAGAGAATTTGTTTGCTTGCACACTACATCAAAATCTTTGCACACAAATCATATCTGGACCATTAAAAGACAAGGGTAATCTTTTGAAAGCAAGATAAATGCAGAATTATTTAGAGAGGGGGGCTGAGGCCACCCTTGAAATCTGGAAAAGTTATCCTCTTATCTAAAATCAGCCTCCTTAGAAATCATAAGGGCGTGTATATCTATGAGAATTATTTTTATTTCCGTCACATAAAGGAAACCTGAAATGCAACTTTGCAAAGCAGCTGCAGACTGATTAAACTTTGTTAAAGGTTTAGGCTCGCCAAAGATTGAAGCTAATAGCATATTTTTGGAATAGGCTTAGACTCTAGTACACGCCTGTTTCCAACTGGATTAGAGTTTCTGTGGTTGGTAAAAGAGACTAGGAACATAAAGAATTGTTAAAAATAATTTTCTAAGAGTCAATCTAGGTGGCCCTTGAATGGAAATCCCATTACAATGTTAATTATTCAAAAATTAATAGCTGTACTTTGATGCTTCCGACATCTTGATATCTTGAAACAAAAGAATGACTGAAAATTCAGAACAAAAATTCTTCTTCAAGCTTATATCTAGCTGTTGCTTTCTAAACATTAGATCTAGCTTTTTAAAATCATACTTTTCTAAACATTAATCGAAAACTTAAACCAATTTTAATATCCCCCTCCTGATCACCGTTAGAAATTATTTTTGCTCCAAATCTTGACACTTTCTGGCGATCCAACACACATAAAAGTAACCAAATTCAAATTTGTTGAAGATCATGATACTCCCACGAAGCTAGGGTAGTTAGAAACCCAAGAAATCTTAAAAAGCATGGTATAAGCGTTAAATAATGTCGTAGTTCTGATGAGTCCAGACTAAACAACCAAATTCTTGAACAGCAGTGCTTGTTGCAGTTTTCACAAAAAAATGAATGCATCATCGTTCGCCCCCAAATTTATTAAAAGCTGTTTTTGTTATTTTCCTGCTCTTCTCCTTCCTCTGTACAAGGGCTTGTTCATATACCTTTGCTTCCATGGTCAAAGTTTTCTTTCAAGATGAGTATTGTGTTGCGTACACCTCCTATCTATCTACATTCATACTAAAAGGTTTCTTGTCACTTTGGCAATTATCACGATATCTCAACAACAGATGTCCTTGTTTTCTGGAGCCATCACCAGCCTTAATGAAAAGAATTTTCTTGGGAATACAGCTACCATCAATCCTTTTGATATGCCCAAACCACCTCAACCTTTTCTACATTATCGCAGTTTCCAAATGCGTTAATTCCAAGCATTTTAGTACCTCTATCTTGGGTGTCTTTTCTTTCCATTATACAAAAACGATGTGAAGTAAGTAAATGCGATAATCACAAAGGTATCTCTCCGCTCAACATTATTGGAAAAATATTCCGTATCTATCTACAACAAATACAACTTTTTGGAGAAAATATTTACTAAGAAAGCCAAAATGGTTTTAGACATTGTGTTCTACACCAGAAATGTTATTTTTTGCATGACAGCTTCAAAGGATGGTACAAGGAAAACACATTCCATGTCATATGTTAATCTTGATAAAATCACGTCTAACTAGCTAAACATAATTTGCAAATTGAGCATACGTGCTTAATAGCAGAAATCATACACAAATTTGGACAACTAACAACATAACTTTGAACTGTTTTCTTTCACTTTGTCGCGCTCCAGTGATAACTTGTATATTGGAAATAGTAGGGCTCACCAAAACCAAAAAAGTTACAATTATTTCTTGAAGTTCTAGTTTATCAAAACTTTCAAGTTTTACCCCTGTGTTCCCTATCATGAAAAGCTTTTCAATCGTCGCCTTGTTTATCTTTGAAACAATATCAAAGGGGAAATGGAAACAAAATTTTAGTGTGGGACACCAGGCAAAAGCCAGTAGAAGCATTGTGACGTTTCTCTTTCTATAAAATGTAGGTGTGTTTTAACATTAGACCAGACAAATTATGTATCTATCTATGCATGGGCATACCAGAACTCAGTGATATTGTAAGTCACATGAATGAAGCAAACTCAGTGTTTGAAAATTGCGTGGAATGGGGATATTAGAAGAAACTTCACACAATTGAATACCTGGCTTGAAGGAAACAAACTTTTTTACATCTGGCCACAACCCAATGCATGGTTCTTTCAGCGGCACCCTTCTCTCAAAGAACTAAAGTCCCCAGGGCCTTTGATTTTCTTTTAATTTGCCAGGTCTTTTCTTCCATAAGAAACCCTGAAATCTCTTTATCCTCCTTAAAGGGCTTGGCCGACAATACCATTGTCACTTATTCATAATAAAATCTCGTTGTTT